TCTGATGAAGTCTTCTGAGATAATTTATTGTACTGAAAAATTACCCTAAATGCATATGCTTTCATCTAATAGCATGAAAGTGGAAACTAGCTCTACTTTATTGATATTTAAAGATAACTTTGTCTCACATCATTTTTTTCATTTTAATTTTCATCAGAAAGTTGAAAGTTGTTCTGTTTCTGCTTCCATCTCTGTCTTTCTCTCCCCAGACCATTCTACCTCAAGAAATTGTGTTGTCTTAGCTCTGATAATGAGCTGTATCCTAGAGGTCCACCCTTGCTTGTATATGCATAGTACTGTGATGCTATTATGGTCATTGCACTTATTTCTACAGTACTACCAAAGAATTGTTGGGAGCCATTGGCAAAGAAATCACCGATAAAAGGCTTTAAGCTCCACTGCAGGCTTTTAAAAGTACTTTTTACTTCTTAGATTTACAAAATTACAATTATTTGGGGCTGAAGAGAGATGACTCAGTGGTTAAAAGCACCAGCTGCTCTTGCAGAGGACGTGAGTTCAATACCCAGCACCCACGTGGTGGCTAACAATGCCTGTAACTCCAGTTCCAGGGGTTCCCCCACCCTCTTATGGCCTCTATGAGTACCAGGCTCGTACATGGTATATATAAATACTTGCAGGCAAAATACCCACACATGTATAATACAATTTTAAAAATAGCAATTACTCATCGGATGTGTGTGTGGTTTGGTGAATAGAGGAGCATGCTGTGGGCCTGTGGAGGTCAGAGAACACCTTGCAGGATTTGATTTTCTCCACCCTGCAGGTACTAGAGATTGTACACAGGTTGTCATGCTTAGCATGATGGCAAACATTCTTACTTGCTGATCTGTCGTGTTGGCTTTCTTAGCAGTTTTTTTCCATATAGTATTTTAGTTCTTAGATATTCGGCCTAGTGTTTGTGATAATTCTATATTTCTTAGTAGATGGCTGTTAAATCTGCATTTGTAGAAGTATATCCAATTTTTAAAAGACTGAAGCAACATAAAATTTGCTTTTATGCCATATCTAAATGTTAATGATTAACAAGCCAAGGTTGTTTCTGGAGTGTACCTTGTCAATGATACTAGCATTCATATTCTTTAGAATATGAATACTTATAGCCAGGATTCTGTTGTATTAAAAGAAGTAAACTCTATGTACTAAGAAATCTAATGTCAGATTTATTTAGATGAGAAACTGAAGTCATAGAAGCTAAACAAAATGACATGGATTGAAAATTGAATGATAGAAAAGTTCTACTCAGTAGAATTCTTGTGGTCCATGGTTGCTCCAAATTTGAAAACTTTAGAAGAACAAAGGAATCTGATAGGTGTTTTAAATGCCACATTCCATGTGATTAATTTGATTTTGGTTGAAGTGTAATTAGGAAATTCTTCTGTGTTATCGTTGAGAACATTTTAGAAAGGCATTAATGGTTTTGTTTTTAGAGTGTGTCTATGGCACTCTCTTTAGACTCTTCTGGTGTTTTCCCCTGTAGAAAATGGAACCTTGGGTTAAACTGCCTGTTGTTCAAGGTCTCAGCGAGTGAATGATGTATCAGGGCTTGGAGCTTCAGTGTTTGCTCTTGTAACTGTTCTACTGCCTTTCTCACAAGCAGTTACCACAGTACCACACCTTTATGTTTGCCTGCTTGACGCCTCTCTAGACAGTAACTTTTTCTGACAAGTTAATTAATAATAGGAAACCTTAACTGGGCACTGAGGGCACAGGACAACAATGTGTTCGGGCAGGCTCTCATTAAGTAGTCTTGGCTTTCCTGGAACTTACTGTGTAGACCAGATTGGCCTCAAATTGATAGAGTTCTACCAACTTCTGTCTCCCAAGTGCTGAAATTAAAGATGTGCACCACCATACCTGGCCACTACTAAATATTTTTGACAAGCCCCAAAGGTCCTAATAAATACACTTTCATGGCATGTTTTTTTTTTTAAAGGTCCTGATAAATAAACTCATATGACTGATTTTTTAAAGATAGATTATTTTGTCCCTTTTTAGGAGTTCAGATCTAACTAGTCTCAGAGGAGACCTAGTGTAAACACTAGCAACAATGTTTTACATTACTGTCTTGGTATTTCCCTTGGAAGCCCAGTGTGCAATTAGGAAATTGTTTAGTTTTAAGACTTTTTTAAAACTGGAGTTGAAACTGAAAGAATTTGGTCAGATTTGCATGTTTTAGAAAGCATTTAACTCACTCTATTTATAGTTAAAACTATGGGTAAAATGAAGTTAATCATATGATATGAAGCTAATAATATGATTCACATGTTCAAAGTGTAAAGTTCTTTTAAAATGGAATTCTTTGATTTGGCAAGTGATCCAGGTTCATGAATGTCATTTGCTACCATTGGAAATGTTGCATATCATTTGCATTTTTCAAGTTTGCTTTATGACTGGGGGATGGCTCAGTTGTTAAGTTATTCTCTGTGAAAACATGAGGACCTGTGTTCAGATCACTGGAACATGCCTATATTCCCCTGTGCTGGGGAGGCGGACACGGGAGGACTGCTTGGGTTTTCTGGCCAGCTAAGCCAGATGGGCAAACTCCAGCTTCAGAGAGAGAGACCTGTGATTAGAAAGACACTGATATCAGCCTCTGAACACACATGCAGGGAGCTTAGTCACACATCATGTGACATTTTTTATAACATAGTAAATGGTTTGCTATAGATTGGGCTGAGACTAAAACAATACTGGAGAAACTGAAGTCTGTTCACATGAAAGCAAAATTAGCATTTTTCCTACTTACAAAATGTACTTTTACAAAACGTGTTCTTTCCTATGTATATTTAGAGGTTCTTTGAAATTATGTTAGTCATTAGTATCAAGAATTCTTTATTGCTATATTTGTTGCATTGGATACATTTAAAATTTTCAAGTTTAATTTTGTAACTTTTAGTGTGCTTTTATATTTGAATTCCAAATTCCTATGGGTTTCATCTGAAAATCCATGTTACATTTATGAAAATTCCCCCTCATACTATAGATTTTAGTAAGAATTTCTAAATAAGATAGATTTTTATTGACAAATCCCAAGCAGAACAAATTATATTATCATTGATCTATTAAAAATAATGTTGAAATGCTTCAGACATTGATTCTGTTGTTGATATATCTTCGTGTTGTATAGGCAGCACCAGTATAGGGAATATCAAATATTACCTACCCTTAGAAGTAAAAGAAACTTCATTAAGGTATGTACCATCTATACCTGCCTCACAGATTTCAGTAATTCTCTAATGGGACTCTTCTAGTAATAATTGAATTGCTTTTAGGATAAGGCTGGATTTGAAGATGGGATACATGCATGTTTGTCCCACTGTGTCTATACATTTAAATGTTTATTTTTAGATTTATTTTTATGTCTTTTTCCTTTGTGTGTATATGTGTGTATGTGTGTATATGTGTACTTTGTGTGTACTTGTAATCCCCGGAAATAAGTAAAAGGAGTAGGATCTCATGGAACTTAAATTACTAATGGCTGGAGCCACCACATGAGTTTCTGTAAGAACCAATGTTCCTAAGCATAATCTCTCCAGTCCTGTCCATGGGATTTCATATTCCTGCTTTTAGACTATTTAGAAATGAAGAGGACCAACATTAACTCAACATATACCAAATGCAAACTTATGTGAAGAATGTTTATACACATGCTCATCTAATTCTTACAATAGATACATTATTAGGTATTTATTTCACACTTTTTGAGATGTTGTCTCACCATATTACCCAATCTGGTCTCAAACTCTTAGATTCAACTAATCTTCCTGCCTCAGCTTACTGAAGAGCTGGTACTGCAGGCACACATCCAGCCTGGTTGGTTAGTTGATTGAGTTTTCTCACCTCTTCCTTCCCCTCCTTTCTTTCTTCCTTTGTTTTTACTTCTTTCTTCCTCCTTGCCATGTCTTTCCCCCTCTTTCTGACTTATCCTTTACTGAAGATTGAGTTTCCCACTCTTCTTTATTGCCTTATGGAGTATCTTTCCCATCTGAGAGTAAGAGAGAAAAGTTAGCTTGGGATGGTTCTGTCAGTTCAGAAATCAACTCACTGGTGCTCTGGGGATATGTCTTGATTAGTAGATAGCATTTCTAGCATGTCCATGGCAGATTGTGGTTCCTATTACAATATACATTGGGTGAAGTGGTACTAGACTGTGTAAAATCAAGGAGAATCAGAAGTTCAGGGTTTTTCTTGGCTCCATAGCAAGTCAAGACAAGCCTTGACTACATGAAGGCCTGTCTCGAGGGTGGGAGGTGGGGGGGTGAGGGTGGGGGTGGATGGGACAGTGCTGGAAAGGAAATAAGAAATGAGCTTGCTAGCATAAAAGCACTGAGGGGATGATTCATGCAAAGGGGCCCAGCAGCACAAAATAATATTCAGCTTGACACTGATGGACTCAGGGGAACTCTTGCCTCTTTCTACATTAATTCTTTAAAAAACAAACTTATGTTTATTCTTTCACAATATATATAAAACATTATGTGATCATGTTCACCCTCCAGGCTTCCCCCTAACTCTTCTCAGATCCACACCCTTCTTCCTCTCTACTTACCACTTCCATACTTTGTTCTTTTAATTCTTCTTATTGTGTATATGTGATTGAGTTGATGAATACTATGTATTTGAGGGTGCGGGGCCAGAAGGGAGTGAACAGATTCCTTAGAGCTGGAGTTCTAAGCAGTTGTGAGTTGCCTGATGTTGGTGCCAGGAACTGAGCTCAGGACCTTTGGAAGAATAGCAAGTGCTCTTAACCCTTGAGCCATCTCACACCCTTTAAAACAAAAGGCCACAAAATCTAGTGTGGCTTCACCTTAATTTTAAAGAAGTTCAGTGAGATGATGATAAGCCATAGTAATGTGAGCTCTATAAGCAGAGATGAATATTAAGTATGTCTAAATTGAATGGCTCCTGTTTGCTCCTTAACATTAATGACTGTATATTCAAGAGTTGTAATAATTGAATATTGACATTTCCTCCCAAAGGTTTTGAAAGAGGAAAAGAAGATAATTCTCAAAATAAAGATGATGCTTCACTTTCAATGTCAAAGAGCAAGGTAGGCATTGTTGTTCCCAATATGTGATAGGACAATCTAATTTATTGGTACAGTCTCTTTATTAGTAAAGGGGTGCTTCTGCTATCTCAAGGTTGCTTTAAGGATAGAGTAAAATGGTACATTCACAATGCTTAACATAGTACCTTGTAAATGGTAAGCAGCCATTAACATTCATCGACATTCAACCTAACAATATGAGTCTTCTTCATTAGATAGTGTTATCTAACTTGAACTCTTCCTATTTGTACGTAGAGTTCTGTGATAGTTTTAGGTATCATAATCCTCTGATAGCAGCTTTGTTGTCTTTGGGTGCCTAAGTCCACAGAGGAAACTGATTACATAATTCCTTCAGCGAATTGTTTTGTTATCACAGTATATGTCATCATCATGAGAGCAAACAATATGGCATTTCATGCCAAGTTAGGTCAGCAACATAAAAGTTTAGCCAGTTTGGTCTCTATCTTCTGCATTGAAAAGTAATTATAGTTTGTTTCCTGTTAATCACTACCATCATCCTAACCTCATTTATTCCCCATTTATGTAAAGTATTTCATACCAACCACCAGACAAGATAAATAAGCTTTAATAATATTTTCATTTCATTGGTTTATCAAAAATTGTGTAACTGATTTCTTCAGCTGGTACACTGGCTATCATCAGTGAGTAATATAGTGTTGTCACCATGGGAAGGAGTTTGTACTCAACCACTTTCATCCTTGGTTATAGCTAGTGACACTATGCAGGCCTGGCTTTGTAACATTTGAAAACCACAATTTGGATCAAGTTCCATTTACTCCTCAACACTAGGAGCATTACTAAGAATGCTAGCATGTTTTCCTGTGTGACAATGGTAAAAATGAAAAATTATAGGACATTGAAGAAATAGGTTGATACTGTTGTTGGAAGACTTATAAGAATGGCTTTCAAGTGTGTGATCTCTCATCCAAGTGAAAGATTCTGGGCACTGGATTGGGAGGGGCACTGGGTTTTGATGTGTTGCTGTGTTAATGACTGACTAATTAACCTCTGTAAGCCTCTTTTTGATCATGTAAAATAAATATAAAAACATGTGCTTTGTAATTTTTAAGGTTTTATAAGGTTAAATAATAACTTAAAACTCAAAACCTATAATTTTTGTCAATAATAATTAAGTACACTGAAAGGAAGAAGGAGATAGATGCTGGGAATATTCATGTTGAAACACTGGACAGTTAAAGTGGCTTAGTCTTAGTTTTTGAAGATTGGAGGAGTTTTGAGGTAGTGGGTAATGCATTTGTTAATTTGATTAAACTTAACATGGTTTCCTTTTTTGTTTAGCTTTTTCCAATGTCATTTTAATAATTTTTATACTAAGAATAACTGAACAATTGTATATTTTCTTTAAAATGTTCCAAGAAATACAGAATAAAATTTAGAAATACTAATTTCACATTGCAGATTAATTTTTGAGAAAGAGAGAGAGAGCACAAATACCAAGTAGGGAAAAACATTGTCGAGAGATAGCTCAGTGGCTGAGAACACTAACTAGCTGGTCTTCCAGAGGTCCTGAGCTCAATTCCCAGCAACCACATGATGGCTCACAACCATCTGTAATGAGATCTGGTGTCCTCTCCAGCCTGCAGGCATGCATGCAGACAGAACACTGTGTACATCTGCATTTGCTTATACCATAGCAGCAAATGGGAAATGTGTAAGAAATACTTTCATGTGGTATGTAAAATAAATGTGAGTTACTTTCTCTTTATTTCATTTTTATCTCAGTCTGAATCTAAACTTTACAATGGCTCAGAAAAGGACAGCTCCAGTTCGAGCAAGCTCACCAAGAAAGAGTCTCTCAAGGTCAGTTTCTATGGACACTTTTTTAAGATGTGGTGAGATCGTGTCTCCTTCCCTTTCCTTCTTCCACAACCTCCTGTATCCTTCCCTGCTCTTCTAAATCCATGGCCTCTTCTTTTGTTAATTGTTACTGCATGCTTATGTGTATATTCTTAAATATAATCTACTCCGTCCATGTAATGTCACTCATAGGTATGTTTTCAAGGCTGACCATTGGGCTCTGGGCAGCCAATCCCAGCTTTCCTCAGTTGCTTGTAGTTGCTGAGGCCTCATGGGCTTTGCCTGTTCCCGTTACTTGCCTATTGGTGGTGTCCTTGCTCAGCTTACAGTTAGACAGTCATGGTGGGACTCTCTGGGTGTAGCTTCTTGTTACTATGAGAAGCATGACGACTTCCCTGACCCTGTCACAATGTGCTTTATATGAGCTTTTGAAAGTGGGCTGATATGAAATATTTATGTGTGTGCTCCTAAAGGAAGGGGAAGTCCCCCAACAGGGGAGGAAAGGCAAGAGCATATGAAGGACGTTCATTTTTTTATGGTATGGTGAGGTCAGCAGATAATTTTTTATGACTGTTTCAGAGCAGGCTGTCTCAGGCCACAGCTAGCCACAGCACAGGCTCAGAGACAGTGTCTGTTCCCAGCTTTAACAGAGGAGAGTGAGTACTCACTGTGTGTGGAACACCTAGTAGATGTGTCTGGCTCCATTGAAATTAGTTTGCTAATTACAAGGCCCATGGGAATATGTATTTTATCTTACTTGCATCACATTTTAAATTTTGAGACAATAAAAGTCCAAATTTCTAACTTCTTTTAAGAAATGTGTAATGTTGGGGCTGTCTTCCTGAATGGTTGTGGAACTTGGAAACAGGCTCACTACTGGCTGTGGTCCTGCTGACCCTTCTCATCCATCTGTGTGCTGTGGCTGGTCCTGTGTGCATCCGCATTGGCAGTCTCATAGTAAATCTATTCACTTAGACATGGGTATTTTAAGAGACCACAGGAGGCTGGAGAGGTGGCTCAGTGGTTAATAGCATTGGATGGTTTTCCAGAGGATCCAAGTTCAGTACCCAAACCCACATAGCAGCTAACAACCCTCTAAAGCTCCAGTTCCAGAAGGTCTGATGGCCTTTTCTGGATACACAAACATACAAATGTATGTATATGTGGGAAAACACACATACACAAAATAAAAGCAAATAAAATTTCTAAATAAATAAATGGCTATGAGTCTAAAGCATTGAAAATATTAACAGTTAAACTTTGTTGTGTATATAGAATCTCAAATTTAAATTTACCTATGATGGTAAAATGATTAATAGTTTTAAAAAACTGATCTGTTAATTGTTTTCCTTAATTATTTCTATCTTAGATTTTAGTAAAATCAAAGGGCACAACTTACATTTGGAAGCAGCATTGTTTGTAATAAATAAAAGCTAACATTTCTACCAGTAGGAGAGTGCGTTAGGACAAATGGCCCAGTGGTTTAATCACGGCCTTGAAAGCCAGTCTGCCTTTGTATGGATCCAATTTCACACCTTGATAGCTGTGTGATTCTGGGTGCATTATTTTCAGTATTCTTGAATGTAATAAGACTGATGATAATTCTACTTGAATAGCTTATTGTGGTGATTAAACAAAGTAATATTATATATATGATTTGAGAATAGTAACAGTCCACCAATGTACTTGGTGTTAATAATCTCAATATCTTATTTATGCTGGGAATCCTGTAGCACATTTAGAAGATATGGTAGACATAGAAACTTCTCAAACAAAAAATACCAAACTACCAAACCAACAGTGGTGGTGCACATCTTTAATCCTAGTACTTGGGAGGCAAAGGCAGGACAGATCTCTGAGTTCCAGTACAGCCAGGACTATGTACAGGAAATCTTGTCTCAAAAAACAAAAACAAATCAAATGAGAGATTTTGATGTATTAAAAAACCCATCGCTGTGCCTTCATACAGATTGTGTGTACCTGAGAGGATAAAAGTGATTTAAAATGGCAGGGAGGACTGGACTAGTGATCACAGAAACCAGATTCCTTCCTGTGTTGTCAAAGCTCCTGTCCAGTTTTTCATCTACTGAGAGCTGTCTGTTTCTGTCACATTAGGTACAAAAGAAAAATTACCGCGAAGAGAAGAAGAGGGCCACCAAGGAGTTGCTCAGCACCATCACAGACCCCTCTGTCATCGTCATGGCTGACTGGCTGAAGGTCAGGGCATGGGTCTGACTCAATGAGTGCCACCCCCTGGGATGGGAAAGTGTGAGACAAAACCAGACAGATTCTCAGTGGGAGGGGAGGTGTTTGTGTTCTGTGTGCCGGTCTTCACAAGGAGAAGGAACTCCAGAGCATCACAGATGGACAGCAATTCTGTTAAGACATTTTAATTAGTGGGCTATGCTGTCTAATATAAGCCATTATAAAACTGTGTCACCCCACTTACCATTTGGTATTATCACAGATTGGGATCTGTAGTATCAGGACAAAATGAGGACAAGTTGACATAACAGCCACACCTGAGAAGCACTGTCAAGTACACATGCTGTTCTTTCTCATTCTCTTTCCTCCTTCCTCCTTCCAGTCCCTCTGTCTTCTTCCCTTACCTGAGGGAGAGCTGGAGGAACCTGCTGTACTCCTAAGTTTGAAAGTGAATTTTTAAGACTTTGACTCCCAGGAAGCCTTGGTATGACATTACCACAGTCCTAAAGGCTTTCTTTTTCTTTGGGTTAGCAAAGCTGCCACCCGATGAAAAGTTCTTTCACTACAGTGAGAGTCCTAACTGTGGTTGCACACAGTTCAAATACTGCAACTTACCTTATCTCCTCTCAAAAGCATATTAGCTCTGGATCCCATGTGTTTTCTTCTCCAGAGCCAAACTTAACCTCTCTAAGTCCCTAGATACCCTTAGGACAGAAGGGTAGTGCCTCACCTCCCCCTCCCACGCTGTTACATCAAAACAAGGTATTGCTGTGGACCCCTGAATGGCCTTGGACATGTGGCAGTCCTCTAGCCTCAGCATCTCACACACTGGGGCTGTATAGATGTACACTGGGTATACACTATCACAACTGACTCTGTGGCTGCCTTTTAAACCCTGCCATCATTTCCAACAGTTGACTCTTTTCTGTTGTCACATCTCCAAGGTCAAGAATATCCAGTCAGGGTAGCTGTCTTTCCTTTGATTCTTTTGGCTTACCATCTCATTAACACACACACACACACACACACACACACACACACACACACACACACACACACACCACCCACCACCCACCACCCACCCCCCCACACACACACACACCCCTTTTCTTAAATACTTTTCCTCTTTTTATTCCTGGCTCCAGAATCTCCCTAACTTTGTATCCGGGCATTACTGTGGTTCTGCCTGTTTTGCTCCTTAAGGAGTCCTGTATTCATTTCACAATACATGTACATTCAGTTCATGACGTGCAGCCATTAAAGGTAAAGAAAACTCCCACTTTAATCTGAATACTGTACTGGTACTCTGTTCAGCATTGTGAGGTCAGTGAATTTTCTAGTAACAATTTTTAAATCAGTACATTCATAGAAAGTGATAGAGAAACTTGATAAAGTTACTGGCAGCGTTAGACCTCTAGAGCATTAGGAACATTTCATAAAAATAATTGTATTTAACTTACAGGCTTAACTGTAAGTTGCTTAAACTTACAGGCTTCCTCCTAGATATTTATATAGCACACCTTAGGTAATGACTGGGAACAGTCAGTCACCTGAGGAGGGTGGTTTTAGGAACTTGACAGTCTCTCTGGTCTGGTCACGGTTCTTTCTTCTTCCTATTTACCATATGTTTAGGGGATGTCAAAAGTGTTCAGAAAAAGAAAGCTAGAAAAGGCAGAATAGTCATTTATTGCCATAAATTACATTTGTAAGAATTGCTACAAAGAGAATAATTTCAGTACTGTTGAAGTTTAGTTTAATGACCCCTGAAGTCATGAAGGAGGTTAGGAATTTAATTAATGTATAATTTTGGAACTTCTAGTCTATGAGAATCTGAGCTGCTGAGAATGAGGAGACATGACAACAACACATGTCTGCACTGCATGGCTTGAAGTAACCTTTTGACTAAAGACCTATTCATTGTCAATGTATGTGCATTATAACTTCAGAGTAAAACATCTCAGTAGCCTTTATTCAGTTCATTATTCTGTAGTCTAGAAAGAGAAACGAATACCAGTCTTTAAAATGAATATATTTTTCTATAGATTCGTGGTACCCTAAAGAGCTGGACCAAGTTGTGGTGTGTGTTGAAACCTGGGGTGCTTCTGATCTATAAAACACAAAAAAACGGCCAGTGGGTTGGAACAGTCCTTCTGAATGCTTGTGAGATCATTGAACGCCCATCAAAAAAGGATGGCTTTTGTTTCAAGCTTTTCCATCCTTTGGAGCAGTCTATTTGGGCAGTGAAGGTATGTGAACACTTGTTGAGGTAAAAGATAAGGGTGACAGTGTCAAAGAAGGTAAGTCAACCAAATGCCTTCTGTCCCTGGCCAGAACTCATGAAATTGTTTCTGTCTTCCAAGGCTTTATTTATCCTTCTATCTCTGTATATACTCAGTTGAGTACCAAAAGAGCCTTCTACTTTAAGCTTTTTAAGACCTGAAACAATTTTCCTGAGAACATACTCCCAGAATTTTCTCTTTTGTCATTGAAGATTAAATGTACACTTTTTATTAATTGTGGTTCCTACTTTGTAACTTTGTGTAATATTGACTGCCTCTTTGTTCCTCATCAAAATGATGGCCTACAACAGAAACTGACACATCTATGTGGCCTTCCCTGTAGGGATGAGGATGTGTGATGGGAAGCCTAGGAGTAGAAGCTCTTATGAGATGTGGGTTTCTTTAAAGATAGGGAACTAATGTTTTTATTTCTGCTCTAATAGCAGAAATAAGGAGGAAAACAGAAATGCTTTCTTTGATTAATGATCAAAGAATTCTACAACCATTAACAATTTAGTTTACATTAATCAAATCACTAAATCTTAAGTTCATGGTGAGATCAGTGTGTTAGTCTCTAGGATGATTAATCAGTTCATCTTGAATAAAGGACTAACTGTATACTAGATAGACATTGATGTCCCTAGGAAGGGGTTTGGGATTTTTGTCACAGTAGTCTAGATTCACTGAGGAATAAATTTAGGATTACAGAATTTGTTTTGGAATTCATTCTTTTTTGAACTGGTGAGGTTACAATTAAATGTCCAACCACCTAACTTAGACTTATAGTATATCTCATCTAGTGATACCTATAGGATGAAAATTCTTGTTAAAATTAAAACTGTATTATTATGGTAAATTTTTATTTTTTTTTTTTTTTTTTTTTTTTTTTTACTATATGAGTAACATGTGTGGACTACCCCGTAGAGCAAAGAACTTAACCTATAGATGATGTGTTTTGCATGGAATCTGTTATTTCACCCTCAGACTTGGAAGGATATAGATAAGATTGAATTCTAAAGTGTTCACTATAGCAGTTTTCCTAGTAGGTGACCAGATTAAAATAGAGGTAGTCTGATTCTAGGTCATAGTATTTGTTTTCTTTAATTTCTTTTTTAACAATCACAGTTGATGAAGCAGTTCTCTTTTCTTGGTTCAGAAAAAGGAAAGGTTTTTGTGAACAGTTTTTGAAACAGATAATACTTGATTACAAAGTAGATAGTCATTTTCCTATAGATCCAGTCAAAATTCATTTCCCTTTATCTAGTAAATTATATTTCCAGTGACTTTTTTTCAAACTTCTAGAAACACAGTATTTCTCATGTAGCAAAAGTTGTAAAATAGATATTCTTTTTGTGTCAGTGTGTTAAAAGTTAAGTTTTCTTTATTATATGAGCAATATGTACAGATAATATTTAAATGATAAATGCTATCATTTGTTCAACTTTCTATTAAGGAGGCATATTTGTTGGGAAAGAATGTTGTTCTTTTGTTCTTGTTATTGCCTATGAAACACAAACACGAGCCCCTGTGGAGTTAATTGGTAGAGGGGAGAGAGAAGGGGGTGTAGCTGATGGCCAACCGAAAGCCAGAGAGAGAGAGATGGGGGGAGGGGAAGAGCAAGAGAGGAAGAAAGAGGCATGCTTGGAGCACTTGCTTTAAAAGGGAAACTGCATATGCATAACTGAGTCCCCTGGGCAGGTAACTGGTGAGCAGCCCTGACATAGGGAAACATGTCGGTGAGCTTCCTGCCCATAATCAGGGGGCGGGGTCAGCAGACTGCCGATTTCCAACATTCCCACCTCTTATTATTAAAAAGGTGGGGGTGGGTGGGCTTGGCAGGTTGGGGAATAGGAATGTTGACTGCTTCCTGCTGACTTGGGGTAGTGATTCTCTGGGGGAATGAGAAAGCTGGGGTGCTGCCACGTCCTGGTAGCTAGTTTTCATCGCAATCCTGACTGTATGGAACTCTGCCATCATTTTTGAGACCTGGCAAGATGTTAGCAGAGCAGAGGACAAGGTTAAATTTAGAAAAAAGTTTTTTTGTGTTTTTCCTTAGGCCCTGGTACTTGAAGATGAGGGAAGGGTTCCCTAGGTGAGGGAAGGGAGTCCTGGGACCAGGTTGAATGTTTATTTGGAGTGAATCTGACCTGTTTGGATTAATCCAATTTGGCTCCCTGGAATTTACAAGAATCCTTTGAGTTTGTGAAAACATAAATATTAGACACATTAGCAGTATACTCATGTTAGAAACAATTTGGCTAAAAGAACACATATACAACTGACAGATCTTTATCACAATGAAAGCACCTTAATTTTGAGCTTATAGTTACAGTTATGATTGTATAGTGGCATAGTATGGTGTTTAATGCTCTGTCAGGGTGTGATTAGTAGCTCATTAAAATTTATTGATTAATGTTGAGTATTAACAGTAACAACTTTAAAATATCCGTTTCTGAAATCTTTTTTGTAACAATTGGAGCCTTGGTTGCTGCTTTAAGCTGACAAAGTACCAGTCTTCAAAAGCATCAGAGTTCTTGAAGGATAAAATCTTACCTGAATGATTAGAGAGTAACAAGAGATTTACTAGCTGGCAGCATGGACAGCCATCCCCAGGTCCTGCACTGTTTTTGAGGTCAGAGGCTTTAGGACATCTGCCTTCTGCCGATGGCATGGGACATGACATGAGACCTGTGGATTAGGAGCTTTTGGAAGACTTACAAAGAATACTTGAATACTAAAATTAGCATTTTTGGGGGGGGGCATGGGTAGAGACAGGCTTTCTCCGTATATCTCTGGCTGTCCTGTAACTCACTTTGTAGACCAGATTGGCCTCAAGCTTACAGAGATCCACGTGCCTCTCTCCCAAATGCTGGGATTACAGACATATGCTACCACTGCCTGGCCAAATTTGGCGTTCTTAAAATAGACATAATTAAGGCTTGTTTACTTTTAGATTATAATTGTGCCTGATAACCCACACCTGATACGAATAATCATGCTAAATTATTGTTGGTCTCTCACAATACTTACCCTGTACCATCTGTTTTCTTATTAAGGGGCCAAAGGGCGAAGCAGTTGGATCCATAACTCAACCCTTACCTAGCAGTTACTTGATTATCCGAGCAACCTCAGAGTCAGATGGTAAATACGTTTTGATGGATTGGCTCTCATCTTTCAGGAATTATTTTATATATTATTACTTTTGTGTTAACCTTGAAAGAAATCACTTTTTTTTTTTTTTTTTTTTTTTGTAGAACACTTGAAACAAAATACAAAGCTAAATTCCTAGCTTTATAGACAAAGAACTCTTGATAGGAGGGACAAATGTGGCTGGACAGTGTCTGCAGCTCAGATTTTCTCTCCCTCTCCCCTGACACAGCAGTGTTTTGGAGGCTAATAGTTGTTCTGTGGTTTTTGCTTTTGGTTTTTTGTTTGTTTGTAGTAGTTCATTAAACATGATCATTTTAAGAGTGTTGTATTAACATTTGTGGAACACATAACACTGGTTTGATTTTATTTTACATAAGAAAGCAAAATACAAATAAACCCACCATAGCCAGATAGTAATTTATTTGGCTAATTATACACACACATACACACACACACACTCACTCACACTCTTGTCTCTGTGTATACATATATGTGTGTGTGTATACGTATATATTCGTGTGTGTATGTGCGCGCGCGCGCGTACGTGCGTGCATGTGCCTGTTTGTATACATTTGTAAGTGATGGTAGATTTGTTCTTTACTGTCAAACTTTATAGTTTAGATTAGATTGATATAGGGTATCTTTACAACCTTACAATACTAGAGGATTACTGTTTATATTAAAATACAGACATGAGATTTCAATGTGAAATGTTTTATATGATTTAATCTTCTGCAGATCTTGAAACAAGTACTTAGGATTTTAACAATACTTATATATATTAATATATTTTATAATTTCACTGATACAATTCTAAATTATAAAAGCTATTAATATTGACAGTCGTGGCAGTTACTGATAGCATTGTATAGGTATTTTCTTGGCTTAAATTTTTTGTGTTAAGCAAAAATAACCAAGGTTCCAAAAGACAAGTGTTGCAGAGACAATGTAAGAGTAGAAACATGTTAGGAGGAATCATTAGGAGAGGTGGGGTGAATGTGATCTCTATACATTAGAGTGCATGTGAAAATGTCCCAGCAAAGCCTGTAATTGACCAGTGCATGCTAGCTAAATCTTTTCATACATGCACGTAGAGTGTTTGCCAAGCCTGGGGACATACCTGTTGCCAACCATGAGACATTATTTCAGTTAGCTTATAGTAGAAACATATTCTCTTCAATGTATTTTGTGTACCTCGTTTGATACTTTAAAATTGCATGTTAGTGTTCGAAGTTTGGGGAGATAGTTTTAGATGGTATGCTTGCATAATACATGCTGTCACCTATTTGTTGTAATTTTTAAAATGCTTAGTGTTTAAAAAGCATGTATAAGAAAGATCACATTAAAATCCTGGAAAACTTTTCTGTTTAATTAAGTTTTCCAGTGCTTGTTTCTCAAAGAAATAGTAGTTTAAAGTAAGTGGGTTAAATTAAATGAATACTGGTTTTCATTAATTGTCTTGCTTGTAAATCTATGTTCTTCTAGGAAGGTGCTGGATGGATGCCTTGGAGTTGGCTTTGAAATGTTCTAGTCTTCTTAAACGCACAATGATCAGGGAAGGAAAGGAACATGACCTGAGCATTTCCTCAGATAACACACATGTAACATTATATGGTTTACTGCGTGCTAACAATCTCCACAGTGGTGACAACTTCCAGTAAGTAGCTATTGCTGCTAATTTGATGATGCTTTTGGAGACCATCCTGGTCACAAAATCAGTTGTCATTTCTACTACTTTAGTGTAATATTGTATAGTGTTTAAATTTGCCTGTCTTATTATTATATAGCTTAAGACCTTTAAAATTAGTTTGTTATATATCAAGCATAGAGGGTATCTTTATTTTAGCCTGTGTGAATTACTCTTTTTGCCAGGTACAAATGAGCTGAGTATCTACTTTGTCTTTGTACATAGTGTTCCTTCCATTAAGAATGGTTTCTACTTCTTGCTGTCTCCTTCTGTCATAATCCCATTTCAAGATCATTTTGAATACTGTATTCCATGTGAAGCTTTCTTGCCTCAAAACAATAGAAACATCTTCTCTTCCATTGTTCTTCTCGTAGCATGTTTTGGAATTGCATTGGATTTTGCCTGCCAGTTGGGAAGCATTTTTATGTTTTGGTTTGTTTTTTTTGTGTTTATGAATGTTTTGTCTGCATGTATGTTTGTACACCACATTCCTGCAGTGCCTTCAGGAGCCAGAAGGGGGGGTCAGTGCCCTGGGACAGTTACAGATGATGTGGGTGCTGGGAATTGAACCTGGGTCCTCTGGAAGATGTGTCAGTTCTTCTAACTACTGAGCTGTCTCTCCAGGTCCTGTGGACACATTTTTAGTGGAAACTATAAATAACTGAATTGTGATTTTTTTTCTCCGGAAGCATTCATTGTAGCTAAATCTAACATAATATTTCTCTGGCAAAACTGAGATGTAATGCACAGATATTTAGCAGGTGCTGGCATCTTTTTATTGCTTCTCATAGAACAATCCCACCATCCCCTCCTTCCATCGTTTAAAGCTTCACTTTGGGGCTATGAGCTTATTTATTTAGGCTGAAATTGTCACTCCCATCGATCCCTGCAATTTTCCCCCTCACAATGAAGCCTATCAGGTAAATGTTAAATATATCTCAAAGCATGTTTTCCATCTTCTAAGAGGTCATTTTGGGGTGAGTTTGGAGCTCATTACTAAGCCGAGAACTTGATGGTCTTGACTTGGTGTTCTTCAAACCAGATGTGGTTGAGATCCTGCCTCCAGTAATAGTAGGTGGGTTGACCAAGCAATAAGTAGTCTATATCCTTTTGTGAGAACATTTAAGCCCCAGGAATAGAGAGGCAAGCACTCAGTTTGCCATCTTTCATTGCAGACTTCCGTTTAATTTCTTTGTGCTGATCTGTGAAAGAACGGCAATATTGCCTGACAGGGTAATTGCAAAGATGATGTAAACTAAACTAAGTAAAGCACTTAGAACTGTGCACAGCACATAATAAATTTATAATAAATGCTATATGTTGTTCTAATTTATGAGTATCCTTAGACTCCTTTGTTGTTCCCTGTAATTATTCTACTAAGGTTGAATGACAGTGAAATTGAAAGGCAGCACTTTAAGGACCAAGATATGTATTCTGATAAATCTGACAAAGAAAATGACCAAGAGCACGATGAGTCTGACAATGAGGTGATGGGGAAAAGTGAAGAGAGTGATACAGATACATCAGAAAGGCAAGATGACTCTTACATTGAACCTGAGCCTGTTGAGCCTTTAAAGGAGACCACCTATATGGAGCAGAGTCATGAAGAACTTGGAGAGGTGAGCACTTCCCTAGTGCCAGAGACTCTGGCTGACTTACTCTAGAAAATTTCCACACAGAATTACAGATATTATGGCCTGGCTTGTTTTCCCCAAAGAAAATTTATATGCCACATGTTCATTCAAAGGTATATTGTGAAATTTATTTATATTTATACTTCACCAAGAAACATACCCACATGCCAGTGTGGTCTGCTAAACTTCAAGTCTAGATTTTCAAGTTTGTTTTTGAAATAGGATATTACTTGCTGTCATTGCCAGGTGTAAAGTAAATTGGAAATAGCATAAATTTAAAACTTGTTTGTCATTATGAGTGCACAAAAGTAAACTATAAAAACAACAAACTACAAATCTGGGTATGGTGGCACATGCCTGTAATCTCAGCACTTGGGAGAATAAAGCAGGAAGTTTGCAAGTTTCACCACAGTCTGGGTTACCTTGTCTCAATAGAAAAATAAATTTAACTGAACAAAGACATAATAGAATTTGTGTATATGCTATTCTTTTGGTGTTTCTTGTAGCTCTTTTACTTTAGTAGCCTAGACTTTATTACCTAGATGGTTGTTGTGTGTTTTCATAATGCTTGCAGGGGCCCTGGAGAGTTGTGTTTTTATCATTCACTGTCCTGTCTATATGTCTAAGATAAATAAGATATTTCAGTGTGCTGTGTTACAATTGTTAAAGGCAGGTGAAGCTTCTCAAACGGAAACTGTGTCTGAAGAAAACAAAAGCCTTATCTGGACTCTGCTCAAACAAGTGCGTCCTGGCATGGACCTGTCCAGGGTGGTTCTTCCTACATTTATTTTGGAGCCTCGTTCTTTCCTGGATAAACTTTCAGATTACTACTATCATGCAGACTTCCTGTCGGAGTAAGTAGAGTCTTCTAGAAATGGTCCCTACATAGGTTTAGAATGTCTCGAGAATGTACCAAAAGCCAGACATGGTGGTATGCACTTGTAATCTCAGCAGCAGGGAGGTGGGGAAAGGTGGATTTCCCTGGGGCTCAGCAAGGCCAGGGAGAGACTCTGCCTAACAAACAAGGTAGGTAACACCCGAGGAAGAATGGTACCTCTGAGGTCATCCTCTGGGGAATAGAAATTTTGTGCTTACCCTTCTATATTTCACCTGTTGCCACTTCTGTGGAGTCTTGTGGAGGTTTTCTGTACTAATAAGCTTTGGCCCAGTGATTTGGTCTTAAGAATCTGCACCAATATCTGTTGTCCATATCCGTTTTCAGTTGTAGTTATTAATTACACTAGTAAATATTGAAAACATTATAAGCTAAATTCATACCAAGAGATGATCGGTATGTGATAGGAAAGCTTTGCAAATGATGTAGTAGATAAAAGTATTAATTCTCCTAAGACTGTATAAGAGTTCTTGATGCCAGCATGGTGGTGCACATTTACGATCCTAGCACTCGAGAGAATTGCTGTGAGCCTGAAGCCAGCTAGGGCTTATAGCAAAACTGATTCGTCCCTGCTCCCACAATAAAAAGAAGTCCTAGCTAGCAAGCTATCTCTTAGAAATAGAGTAAAGATATCCAATAACCTATAGAAAATGGGAAGTGGGAAAAATGAAATAGAGACAGTTCTTAAATGTGAACCTCATGCAAAATAAGAAAAAGCAGGTGAAAGCTGAAATAAAATAGTATTGCTCATATATCCCATTGATGTAGAGCTTTTACACTTGTTCTGCTCCCTCTGTAGTTCTTTTCTTCATCTGTCTTGGGAAGTAATTCTCAGAATGGAAAGCTCATGTGGTGAATTTCTAAGAGATGCTGTTTTCACCAGTGGGGAGGTTGTACCTTAAAGAAAATAATAAATAAACAAATGAATAAGAGAGGGCACAGTTTTCTGGCAGCAATCATGGCTCCAAAGAATTGTGAGGCAATGAGCAGTTTTGAGCATTTTGATGCAGCCTATGAGCAATAGCAGCTATCACAGTGTCCTTGCTAGCTGGCCTCTCCATACTTTGCTTCTGCTTATGTGAACCACTCTCACAGAGGTGTCTCCACACATACCAACTGACATACCAAGACTGTCACACTTAAAACGTCCAGTATAGCTCAAGTGCCAGCCGTAGTTCACTGGCCAAAAAATGTTTGACACATCTGCATATCAAAGGAAGAGATTCATAAAATAATTTTTTAAAAAAAGCCATCAAAGTACACAGGAAATATAATTTACTACATTATTTTAAAGTGGGACTGTTTATTTGTATTTGCTTATTTATGCTTGAAGTAAACTTTGGAAGAAAGACTTGTGTTTTTTTTAAGATTTTATTATTTTTAATATTATGTATTCTTTGTGCCCACACAAGGACCCGTAGAGGTTAGAAGATGGCATCAGGTCCTCTAGAGGTGTAGTTAGGTGGTTGTGAACCTTTTGACTTGGATGCGGGAACCTAACTGAGGTCCTTTGCAAGAACAGTCTGTGAATTTGACCACTGAGCTCTCTTCTAAGAGTCTTTTAAAAGCAAGTCGGTATTAGTTCATTTTCTGTTGCTATGACAAAATACCAAGGTAGCTTACTGAGGGAAGAGTTTATAATAGACCTCGGTGATACGGGAGGGGGCTGGCATGCCAACAAGGAGTGGGCATTGTGGCAGGAGTAGGAAACAGGTCATCTCTGGTACAAGCACAGAACGAGAGCAGACTAGAAGTAGGTCGAGGCTGTATGCTCCTCAAAGCCCATCCCCAGTGACATACTTCCTTCAGCAAAGCCATATCTCCTAAACTCTCCCAAGCAGTGCCCACCAAGTTAGGAAGCATGTGTTCAAATGCAGTAAACCTAGGTCTAGCCTTTGTCACCTTGCACCTTATCTTCAGAGTCAGAGTCCACTGTCAGATGCACTTGTGAAAGAAAGCCAACACCTTTTTATAAGTAAGGGCCTAATAGATAGCTACATTACAAACAAATGTGAAAACAACTTGTCGGTAAAAGTCACTTCACAGGAGTTAAGAGCATTGGCTGCTCTTCAAGAGGTCCTGAGTTCATTTCCCAGTACCCACATGGTGGCTCACAACCATCAATAATGAGATCTCATGCCCTCTTCTGGCATAAAGGCATACATGCAGATAGAGTACTCATACATAAATATTTCTTTTTAAAGTCCCTCCGAATGTTCACCGTCACTTCTTTCGTAGTTGCCATAATAGTCAAATGGTCAAGGAGGGAGGGAAGCTTGGTCATTGTTCCCTCAGATTTCTTCTGTACAGACTAGATGTTACCCTGGTAGTCTGTTCAGATGGAAAGTCAGCTGCTAACACAGCACAGATAGGAAGAGTGAGGGCTACATTTGGCAAAACCCTGTTGATGGACATGGAAACACAAGGGAGGGTGAGGGACTGTGACTGGGAAAACACTACTGGTGCAGCTTATCTAATTCTTCTTTCACACTTGCCACATGACCTTTGTAGCAGGGACACAAACCCATGTAACCCTTGATCAGAAAGGCTGCCATCAGCCTTTCTGGTGTTTATTTCTAACACCAGCTGTTGAGATTAGCGGTAACCAGGTATACAGTGGCTGACTAATGCTCCTCTGGTTAGGGGGTGGAAGACCTGTAGTCAAACTGTTGACTGGGCTTCAGGGCATCACCCATGCATGAATCTTCAAAAAATCCATGTTTGTTTTTATGGAAGAAAGAGGGTGGTTTGTTCTTGTGTTTCTGGTACCTGTGGGAATCCCTAATCTTGGAGGGGGCATGGCAGCAGGTGACCTGAACATCCAGGTGACTGCATCTCCAACCAACTGGAAAAGGGGGCATTTACAGAACTCCTTGTTAATCCTGGGTGCTACAGAACCCCATTTTCAATATGCTGGTTTAGGACTTCAAAAATATTTTCAGCAGTATCCCGGGCAGTACATAAAAGGATCAAAAACCTGGGATAAGGAACCAGATTAAAACAGAAAAGTGATTCTTTCCAGATTAATTTTTATGTTTTTTTTAAATTATGTGTGTATTTGTTGTTAGAGTGGGAATATTCACATGAATGCAGATAATCCACAGAGGCCAGAGGAGGGGATGGGAATTGCAGTTGCAGTCAGTTGTGAGTTATTGGACAGGAGTGCTGGGAATGGACCTCTAGTCCCTACTAGAAGACCAAGCAATTTTAACCTCTGAAAAGTAAATTTACATGACTGTTTTACTGTTGTTTAAGTATGATTAGGTTTACACCTGTAAGTTATAGTAAGTATGGAAGAGAATTTGTAATTGCATAAAATGATTATATTTACCGTTTTTGCTTTTTAGGGCTGCTCTTGAAGAAAATCCATATTTCCGTTTGAAGAAGGTCGTGAAATGGTATTTGTCAGGATTCTATAAAAAGCCAAAGGTAGTGTTTGTTTTGCTTCTTTATTCCACCTTTTTATTTGTATGTGTGTGTGTGTGTGTATATACATACATATATATATGTGAATATTTGGGTGTCATGCTGCACATGTGAAGGTCAGCTCTGTCGTGAATCTTGGGGATCAAACAAGTCATGGGATTTGGAGGCAAGTGCCTTCACCTGCTGTGCGCGACATTGCCCAAGTACACAGAAGCAGTTCACACCCCTGATCATTTATATTCTTAGTCGTTACAATAGACTGATAGTGCTACCTAAGTAACACGTAGGATAAAAAGCATTTGTTTGGTAGCGAGAGCCAAAACAGCCTTTCTAGAATGTTCTGGTTCATCTACGCTATCCCAAGCCATACAGTCAGAAAGCAAGAGTAAGGAATGTGTTTGAAGGAGCAGTGACAGGAAGAGATTATGAGAATAGAATAAAATGTTTTAATCTGGAAAGATGAACAGCCAGTGGAGGACAGCTACAACCAGCCAAAAATATCACCACTAACTTAATGACAGACCGTCACTATGTCCACATATAGGCGTGCTGTTAAGAAAGGAGGTCTCACCCTTCTCCAGTTGGGAGCGCTATGCATTTGCATTGTGCTGGTCAAGCAGTAAGTGAGAGCTATCACATAGTGGACTTTTACGGGAAGAGCCTCAAAACAGAAATTGGAAAATGTAGTTTTTATTACTAAGAATATTATTAACTGTGTGTGTGAACCTAGACAGCCCACTTAAACTTTAAGCCTATCTCAAAAGATGGAAAGATGGAGATGTTGACATACAAATTCTGTATTATCTAGCTTTTCCAATACTGGTTAAATACCAAAAAGAGATGGCATCCAAAATATACTTGCACCCCATGTTCTTTGCTGCACTATTTGTAGTAACCAAAATAGAGACCAGACTCCGTCGCCAGCAGATGAATGGGTGGAGATGTTGAACCAGTTGGTTGTCGTTCTTGTTGTTTTAAAGCAACCATTGCTTTCGTGAGGCAACATCGTAGAGGAATGTCTTACATCTCTAAGAGTTGCTTTTCTTATTTGAAATTTTATCACTCTGAGAGTTTCACACATGTGTAATCTTACAGTATATTTTGGTCATTTTGACCCCATTTATTCTTGAGTTCTTGGTTTACATGTTTTTATGTGTAATCTTGAGATAGTTTACTGGCAGAAATTGCAGAATTTGTATTTAGAGCATATCTTGAGTAAAGTTATATTTTTACTTGATGTAAATTTCATTTACTGTGAAGCATTATAAGGTGGTCTTCCAGATAAGACAACTTAATTTTAAACCTGTATTTGTAATTTTTAACTTGTAGGGTTTTTTTTTTTTTTTTTTTGGTTCGTTTAACTAGGGATTGAAGAAACCATATAATCCTATACTCGGTGAGACTTTCCGTTGTTTATGGATTCATCCCAGGACAAACAGCAAAACATTCTATATTGCAGAACAGGTATGAGAAATGCTAACTTGGTAAATCACTATTGTTTAGCTTCTTGTTAGGGAAGGTATGATAAGCATTGAACCTTCTAGTATGGAATACTACTCCATATCACACTGATGAGCATTTCTGTCACAGCCCATGATTGTTTCCTATGATGATTCATGGCTTTTGTGAAGATGATTTAGTTTCTCAGCATGTGGCCCCTCCATTTAGATTCCCCCCCCCCAGCACAAAAACTTGGTTACTCAGAACTTTGAGCACTGTGTATGTGTGCTCATGTGTGAGAGGGGTAGGGGGGGTGGGGGAGTAAGAGGGTCCTGATAGCCTCCTGCATGGAAGGTATATAATAGTCTCCAGTTAGAAATGCTATGCTATCATTCCCACAAAAAAAAAAAAAAAAAAAATCTCACTGATTCACACCCTGTCTTGGTCTGCATGCCAGGAGATGGATTTCCTTGGAGACAGAATCTGGACTGTAGTCATTAAAATTTATCCGTTGCTTACTAACTGTTCCTTCTTACTCGTTCTTAGAATTGAACTTTTGATGCTAGCATAATAGTATGCTTGTTTTGTTAAATGCCATTATTTTTCCTGTGTTCAATAGGTGTCCCATCACCCACCAATATCTGCCTTTTATGTTAGTAACCGAAAAGATGGATTTTGCCTTAGTGGTAGTATCCTGGCTAAGTCCAAGTTTTATGGTGAGTTTTTTCTTGTCCTAAACTATGCTTTTCCAAAACGTAGTATTTTCTGTTTTCTTATTTGTAAATAAATTAATTTTATTTGTCATTTTGGCAAGGAGTTGCTGTCATTTAAGCATCTTCAATCCTGACTCCTGTTTAATTCTTGCACACTTAGAAGTAAGGCCTGTTGTGTCTGACTTCATCACATGCTTGTAACAAAGCATCACTGACTCCAGCACACAGTGAGGGCCTGGAGTCTCTCCCATGCGTGAAGGGCTTCCTTTCTCTGCCTTCACTAGTTTGTTTAGTGTTGACTCCCTGTGCCTGAGGGAATTGATCTTTCTCTTTTAGTCTTTGGCCCTGGGTCAAATAACACAGTTAATGTTTGTGAGTACGAGAAAGGAATATAGAGAATGTGGTTTTAGTAGGAAACCTTAGCACAGTGCCTTTGACAATTCGAAGAAAGCATAACCAAAACTGTATAGTGGTAGAATGTATCTGTAAACACTATTATTTAGCTTTCCAATTTTAAAGATATTTAAAAACTTTGAAAATTCAGTTAAGGAATTTTAAACCTGAGAGAAAACAAACATAAGGGAGAAATAGAAAAGATAAAAGTAAGCAGAAGTTTAAATTTTAATTATGTGAGAAGACAGAGTCAGAAACTAGTCTGCACAGGAATGTGGCACCAGGAGTGTGGCATGTGCCTTTCGTTTATAAAGATGCTCCCCCATGTTAGGAGTAGGTTTTCCCTCCTGGTCCCACCACCATGCCTGTCCCACTTAACACACAGAGACCCTGTATTGGATATAATTCTGTTGGTCAGTTACTTCTTTCTTATTGGCTAGCTCTGTCTTAAGTATTAACCCATTTCTATGTATTTCCATGTGGTCTTACCAGGGAGAGGCGGCTGGCAGTTCTGCCTTCTTCTCACTCTCCATCTTGACTCTTCTTTACTACTTCCTATTTCCTCTTTGTCTCCTAGTCCCGCCTATCTTGCTTTCCTATTGGCCAACAGTGCTTTATTCATTAACCAGTATGAGAAACATATTTACAGAATGACATCTCCCATCACCCCCACTTAATTTTCTTTTGATATTTCTTGTTGATATTACTCCTTCCCCCTCTAGCTTCAGTCCCCGGACCCACCCCAGCTACAGTGTGTCTGTAAGGTGTCTGTTCTGCCTTTGTAGACATTGTTTACTGAGCGTAGGAGCAGGTTTATGTTCCAGTATTCCTCTGCACTGTGCTTTCATTTTTCTTATGTGTTAACACAACTTATGTGCACCAGGGCTAGATCTTTATAGTATGGGAAAATTCAGAGTTTTAAAAAAAAAATCCTCATTGTTTTCTTTGAGTAAAGACAACTGAGGAGAGGGTGTTTAATTAAGTGTCCTATTAGGTATATGGGGGTCTCTCATGTTGGAATCTAGAATAGTTGATGTAGAGATAGGTTCATGTCATGGTCATGCATAAATGTTTACATAAATATTCACAACATTATTCCTAATGGTTCATGATTGATAAACAGAACCTAACATCAACTCTTATAGACCTGTTATAGCTATTGAATATTATCAGTTTTAAAAATGAATGCATGTTATGATAGCAGAGACAAATCTGAAAAATGTATGTTAGGTGAAATAAGCCAAATATGTTATGTATTTTATAATGCTCGCTGGAATTGGCAAAAATACAGTGATAGGAAACATCAGTGTTTCCCAACAATAATGGGGAACTTTCAGGATGGTGGTTTAGATAGGTGGATGTAGGATGTAGGATGTAGGTAGGTAGGTTGGTAAGCAGGTAGAGAGATAAGACAAGTAGACAGGGGATCGAACCTGGGCCTTGTGCATGGTAGACAAATGCTGCATTCTGAACTGCATTCCCATCCATTAGTCATTTGAGATGGTCTTTCTGTGTAGTTCGGGCTGATGCTGAAGCCCCAGCCCTGTTGTGTCCACCTTGCAAAATGTTGATGCAGGTCTGTGCTAGTGTAATCCTCTATGTGGTGCCACGTACTGTCACACTTAATGCTTAAAATAGTCCATTCATTGTATGTTAGTTACACTCCATCAAAGATGTCAGAGGTTAAGGAAAGAAATGGGCCAATCATTGTATATTAATTATACTCTAACATCAAGTGCAGAGGTTAAAGAAAGGACAGAGACAAGAAGAAATTGCTGTGACATTTTATCACCTGGATTGTGCTGATTTTTAAATCATTAGTAGGTATAGAATAAGTTTTAAATATTTAAAACTTGAGACTTTTATGTGACTTAGAGATCAATATTTTGATTCAGAAGAGACAAACTAAACTGTATAATGAAGCAGTATTTTGTTGACTATTGTATATGCTAGGAGTTTTTTTTCATTTGACTTTCCTAAACAAATAATGATCTAAGCCTTTTGAAAATACTTTTTTATAAGATTAGGAATATGAATCAAATTATGTTTTAGTTATGAGGTGATGAGTATGTTTCAATACATGTATTGAGATATTTTAAAAATTTTAGCTGGAGGAATGTAGTTGATGTTCCAAATATACTTTGTTTTGAATTGTTTTGTGAAATATAATAATACTTTTTCTTTTTTTTTTTTTTTTTTTAAAGGAAACTCGTTATCTGCAATACTAGAGGGAGAGGCACGGTTAACTTTCTTGAATAGAGGTGAAGATTATGTAATGACAATGCCATATGCTCATTGTAAAGGTAAATAATATTGTCTATACTGATACCAGGTGTTATTTGGGATTTTTTTGTTTTGTTTTTTTTTTTTTGTTTTGTTTTGTTTTGTTTTGTTTTTTTTGGTAAGTAAATGTATGTGAATGGAATTTGTTATGTTTGAGATTTTCAGACATATTTGTTTGAAAACTTTGGCCCATAGTTACTTTAGAGTATTGTTGTTTGCTGACTTCTATGATAAATTAATTCACACATAATAGTCATGCCTATTTTTCTGATATATACCCTGTAAGGAGTTTATCTATAATAATGGAATTTCCTTGCATTCACCTCCTATGAAAGTTTTGAAATTAAATGAAACTATCTCTCCAGAATCTTTAAAAGTTATTTTATGCACTCTTGAACTAACAACCTTTACAAAGTATGACATGTTATTTTTTTTTTTTAATAATTTGCTTTTATTTTATGCTCATTGGTGTTTTGCCTGCATACATGTCTCTGAGAGGTTGTTAGAAGCTCTAGAACTGGAGTTACAGACAGGTGTTAGCTGCCTTGTGGGTGCTGGGAATTGAATGTGGGTCCTCTGGAAGAGCAGCCAGTGCTCTTAACTGCTGAGCCATCTTTCCAGCCCCATCTGCTATTCTTCGATGTTTCAAGTCCTTTAAATGTTTTCCTTCACTCTCATTTGACAATTTCTTTTTATTTGGATTTTGGTCCTGTCTGAGGCTTCCTGGTGTTGAGATCACTGGTGTGTGCCTCAACGTCTAGCTTATATTTAGCAATAATCTAGCTAATGCTCAGAGCTTTGTATATAGTTCTTAAAATAGGAATGAAGTTCCTACAATTTCAAATGGATAAGAATCTGTGTTTTTAATTTTTTTAAACTTTTTATTGATTCTTTGTGGATGGCACATCATGTGTCCTTATTCCACTCACCTTCCTGTCCCCTCACTTCTATCCCCGTCCTTGTGACCTCTCCCTCAAAACATAATTTAAAAGTAAACTCCCGCCCAAAAACCCAGAGACAAAAAAAATAAAACACACAGAAACATAAAAACATGTAGGCATGGAAGCTGTAGTGACACATTTCCCCTTTAGTTCAAGCATCTTTACTTAAGTGTTACTGCAATGAGTCACTAGTCTGGTTCGTGGCCTCTGGTCATGCTACACTATGGATACCGGGTCCTCACCGGGACTCCTTTTGTGTCATGGAGAGCCTGTAGCTTAGGATCTGTGGGTCTGGCCCCTTCACATCCTCCAGCAATTCATACATGAGGTGGATGTTGGGGTGGGCTACCTTGTAATCCTGACTCTGGGTGGTAGCTGGGTTGGTTGGCCAGCCTGCCAGCCTTCCCTCATGGTCAGCACCCAGGCGAGCTCTCCAGTACTGCCCCCAGCTAGCTCAGCCACTGCTCTCACACCCTTGGGACCAGCTCACCCTCACTCACTCCAGGGCCAGCTCTACTGCTTTGCCCAGGCCAGGTGCAAAGGCTGGCTCTCCAGATCGCTGTGCTCAGTGAGGGGCAGGGTCAGCTAGCTCTCCCACCCATGTGACCCGGGGACCAGCCTTTTTCATCTGCCATAGGTGGTGAAGGGCAAGAGGCAATGGGGTTATCTGTCCCTCAACCACACTATGGTGTGACAGACTGAGGGTTGCTCTGCCACTCCTGTCTTCAGGACTGATCACCTGCACCCCCTGCCAGCAGGGACATCTCTACTGTGCTGCCCTGGGGGGAGGTACAGGGTCCGATCTCTTGAGTGGTGCAGTTGGTGAAGGGCAATATCTTTAGTTTTATATAATTTATTACATCAGTGCTCAACTAGCAATGAGGAATATTTTTCCTCACAGTAGTGTATTTTTCACAGTGTAGGGAAAATGAGATTAAAGCATAGGGAATTTTTTAAAGTGAGATTGTCTATATGTTTTTTATATTGCTATATTCATGAATTATTTTATAAAGTAGGAGTTCTATGACTAAATAGTTATGAGAAACATTTCATAGTTTGTTTCCTCTCAGAAGTTAACATTGTGTGTTTACCTGTTAAAGGCCACCTCAGCCACCTAATTCAATGAAACATGCTCTTGAACAAACCTGTTCAACTTCCTTTAATTAAGAGTGTGTTTTGACACAGAACCTATGTTTGTGGTTGGCTTGTTTGTTTTGTTTGCTTAACGGACCTGAAGTTGGTTCTTGTTATCCTTAGTAATCATACTCTATAAAGTGACAACTATCACTGAATTAGCACATATCAAACCCTGGTTTCTAAGGAAGGTAGTGAGGTGACATTATCCTAGTGTCTCATCAGTTAGTGAACACATGATGTCACTCACCTACTGCCATTGAACCATCAGCTAGCACTGGCTCACCTGAATGAAGCATTAGCATGTATTCCTCGGCAAGGTCCTCAGAACCTTACACGTCAGAACGCTATACACAAACAACACTTCAGGGTTGTGCTGGGTCAGCTTCCAAGAGCAGATACATCGACAAAAGTGCAAAACTCATGACCAGGATCCCTGCTGAAGAGGGGCTGTTCTGTTTTGTTTTCAGTACGGGCACTGAAGCAACACGGTGGGCTAGTTGTGCCTCAACATCAGTTTTCTCCCACGCATGGACTCCCACACAGCACAGGGGCGCTGATCTGAGGTTTTACCTATGTAGTTAAAATGTTTATTATGGGACTGGAGAGATGGCTCAGTGGTTAAGAGCATGGGCTGCTCTTCCAGAGTTCCTGAGTTGAATTCCCAGCAAGCACATGGTGGCTCATATTGGGATCTGATGCCTTTTTCTGGCATAAAGTCATACATGGCAGATGGAGCACTCATATACATAAAATGAATAAAAATATTTTTTAATGTTTATTATATTTACTCACTGTGTATATGTGGAGGTCTGAGTGTAACCTCTGGGAGTCAGATCTTCTCTTCACCATGGGGTCCCTGTAATCCATCTCAGATTCTGAGGCGTGCCAGGAAGTGCTTTTGCATGCTGAGTCATCTCGTCATCTCATTGGCCCACCTCTGTACTTTAAATAGTCTGTAAAAAATGCCAACTAAGCAGGATATGAATATGCTCTTTTATGTTCTAAAACAAACTATGTCTGTATTTCAGGTTTTTTTTATTGAGTGAGGCAGTATGCTCTCAGATCACAGGTTTCTCCTAGAAAGCATAGCAAATTATAGAACCCTGCTATTTTATGTCAGTGTCTCTCTGTTTGAGCTGCTGTTGGTTTTCTTTTTCTTTAGGAATTCTTTATGGCACAATGACCCTGGAGCTTGGTGGGACTGTCAATATTACCTGTCAAAAGACTGGATACAGTGCAATACTTGAATTTAAGTTAAAGGTTGGTATCACTTGATTGAGAGGAAGCTGTGTTTAAATACTGATGAAAAAAAAAACATAGATGTGTTGAGGAACATAACTAAATATAAAAACAGAATTTATCTCAGGTCAAAGAGAAATGTATCCCAGGGCATTCTTTATGATTGGTACAGCCTGAAACAGCCTTAGAAGATAAAAGTTAACCTGAAAGACAAAAAATTCCTTATGGTTTTTAATTTTAATGATAAAACCTGCCACTGTAGAGGAAATGAGACTTTAAGACAATAATTGCATTGAAATATATCTGTGAAGTAAAACACTGTTTTATAAAACCCCAGGAGGTAGATATGAATTGGGACTGCACATGCTTAAGATTAACCATGTGGCTAATCAGATTTACATGCCAAAAATTTGGACAGGGAATATTGGAGATGGTTTATCTCTTACAAAATGCTGGACATCAGAAAATCTTGCAAAATATGAGTGATTCAGTTGAGACCTACTTGCCTACTTGAGTCTGATACCCAAAAGGCCATGACATGACTGATACTCTGAGCCCCTGTTCATGTGGCCTTACCATGTGATTTCACTTCTTGATAGCATGGAAGCTTCAAGGTACAGGAGGTCTTCCTTAGCAGCACAAGGTCTCAGCAGCACGCTCAGCACTCTGTCCTAGTCTTAGAATCCAGATTTACAGCATCTCCTCTATCTTCTATTGAAGTTCACACCCACCCAGCCTCAGGGAGGAGGGATGATGCTGATGATGTCTTTCTCAGTAGGAGGCTGGCAAGGTCTTGCAGAAAAGTGCGGGGCCAGAGAGGAAATGAGTAGGTACTTTTGAAGCAATTTTTGGAAAATTCTGTCTGCTTCAACAAAGGGGAATTTAGAAATCTTTTCACCATGTCAATTATAATTTAGTACATTGTGTTCAGATAAAAATAGTAACTATATTAATAGATGTTTCTAATTGCTTCCATGTTGGTATTCCAGTAACCAGAGAGAGCCTCTTCCTTCCTTCCTTCCTTTCTTCCTTCCTTCCTTCCTTCTTCCTTCCTTTTTCCTCCCTCTCTCCCTCCCTCTGTCCCTCCCTTCCTCCCTCTCTTTCTTTGTTTCTTTTCTTTGGCTTTGGAGCCTGTCCTGGAACTAGCTCTTGTAGACCAGGCTGGTCTCAAACTCAGAGATTTACCTGCCTCTGCCTCCCAAGTGCTGGGATTAAAGGTGTGCACTACCACCACCCTGCTGACCAAAGTCTTTTTCTAATGAAAATGAACTTACTTGATGCAGTGCCCTTTGCTTTGCCAGTTTTGACAAATGTGGACATACTAGTCTGAAAACCATGATGAAAGTGCTCTTAAACAGTTCCTCATGTCATTAAGTCTTGAAGCATCAAAATTGTGTGTGTGTCTAAGGAAAGACTTTACCAAGAATAGTGTAACCCTGACTGTTTTCAAAACCCTTCAGTGTGTTTCTACATCGACAGGCTCAGGCCTAGCAGTCTTTATACCTGTGTGCTCTTTTTGGATTATTTAGATTTTGTTGTCTGTTTTTAGCTGTAATTTTCAGAGTCACAATTCAGATTTATTTTTAGTCAAAGTTTCTAACTTAAATTTGAGACACAATTTAGCTCTTTTTACTTTCAAGAATGTGGTAACTATGTATTTTTTTATGTGTGGTTATCCACAATGTATGTAATATAAACTAAAATGCCCAATATTTTCTTTTTTTAAAAGCCATTTTTAGGGAGTAGTGATTATGTTAATCAAATATCAGGAAAACTTAAATTGGGAAAAGAAGTCCTAGCTACTTTGGAAGGTCATTGGGTAAGTATTTTTATATACTAGCATTACAAAAATAATTTTATCTGGTGGAGAAAAATAGACAATCAGATTGTGAAGGCGTTACTGAATAAACTTCATCTTAAAAGCGGGTGTTCTGGTATTGCTCGGTTGCCAGTGACACTATGTTTTATGTTTTTGAACTCTTAAATGAGAGGAAGTAGCTATCATATGGCACTCACTGTGTACATTATTAGGAGTGTAACTCGTATTTCTCATTTAATAGTTAGTTGAACTTCATGAAGTTGGTACATTATGTAGTCTCTGTGTGTATATGTACCATAACACATATGTGGAAGGCAGAGGACCAGTGACGAGAGCCAGTGCTCTCATTCTACATGAGGGTTCCAGGAACCAAGCTCAGGTAATTGGGGCTGGTAGCAAGCACCTTCCCTAGCTGAGCTATCTTGCTGACACATGTATAAGATGTGTGCATTTGAAAAGGAAGGAAACTAACACAGGACATGTGGAGAGTTAGGGCGTGTCATGTGGAAAGTGAGCATGGGGCATCTGGAGAGATAGCAGCGAGGAGAATTGAGCCCAGGGACTGCCTGTGCAGCACTTTACTGGTTCCTGTAACTAGAGTCATATTTCTTTTGGAGGAAGATGGGAAAGTGCAGTAGACATAAAAGCAGTGGTTTTGATTTACTTCTCTGCCAATCTAGATTCATGTTTATATAATTTCTTAGCAGGAGCTTATGTGACTGAAATGGATTACGGTGTGTTTGTTAGATGGATTTTTACTGTGAACACTAAGTATATGCTATTCTGCATTATAATAAGCAAAAAAAAAAAAAATAAGGATGAAAAATGAAGCTAGATTTAGAGATTCAACCAGTGGCTACATAGGCTCTGCAAAAAAATTTTTGTTTTAATTTTTGCATGTGAAAGTATATGAGAGCATGACTGTGTGTGTCTGAGTGTGTAAGTGTGTGTGTGTGTATGTGCTCTCCTTTTACCATGTGGGTCTCAGGAGTACATTATTACATCATACTTGGTGGCAGTTGCCTTTCCCCAAAGAGTCATCTCCCTGGTCCCTGCGAAATGTTTTGTTTGTTGTTTTGTTTTTCAAGACAGGGTTTCTCTGTGTAACAGCTCTGGCTGTCCTAGATCTAGTTCTGTAGACCAGGCTGGCCTCGAACTCACAGAGATCTGTGAGTTCAGGGGTGTGCCCACCCCTGAAAAATGTTTTAATTGATTTTTCTGTCTAAATATTATTTGGAACAATGATAAAGCCATTTTTGTCATTTATTTTATTTGGGGTCTCATGCTGCATCACTGGCTGGCCTCAAACTCAACAGAGGTCTGCCTGCCTCTGCCTCCTGGGTGCTGGGATTAAAGGCGTGCACCATCACAGCTGGAAAAATTGATGTTCTAAAAACAAAAACACAATGTCTAAGATTGTGTTCAGTTTTTAATGCTAAGCATCTTAGAATTTTTCAGTAATTTGATGGAAATTGTTCACAGCACCACTCCATGCTCTTCATGCTCCACAGTTCAAGTGGGAGGCTTTGCCTGTAATGAAACTTATAAAATCTCATAAACTTTCTATGTAGTCAGCCAACTTTTGTAATTGATTGGTATTATATATTTAAACTCCTATGATTGAAAAAAATGGGACTTTGAGGAATGTATAGCAGGAAGAATTTATTAGTGTATTGCTGTAATTTGTAGTCCTCCTCTAAATGAAAATAACTATATTGGTGTTTAATTGCTTTAAATACAGGATAGTGAAGTCTTCATTAATGACAAGAAGACCGATAACTCGGAGATTTTCTGGAATCCAACACCTGACATTAAGCAGTGGAGATTAACGAGGCACACTGTAAAATTTGAAGAGCAGGATGATTTTGAGTCAGAGAAGTAAGTATACCATTTTTAGCTGACTTCATGGAGATGAGGAATATTTCAAATTACACAATAGTATAGTCAGACTATTCTGTCTGCTGTTGAGTTCATTCAGCAAGAGAGTTTGTCATTGGTGGGACTGAGAGCATTTTGTGTTGGTGTGTATAACATGAGTACTTGACAGGTTGTCCTTCTCTCTGTAGTACAAAACTGAAATGTCCTGGTCTCCCTCTCCTACAGGAGTGCTCTCAATTTCTGTTTGCATAAATTATAGAACCCACTAATAGCTCTAGTTTCTACCTGGCAACTGCTTCCTAATCTTGTATCTGCCTGTGGAAAGATGATGTGAAGAGTAAAACAGCTACTTTTATTCTGCCCTCTGATACAAGAATAATGCCACTTGATGTCCTGGTTCCCAAAGGACTTAAATTAATTGGGGAATGCCATCATTAATGCCCTCTTTTCTGTTAACTCTTGAAATTCTTCCTAGAACTCTTAACACTTGCGGGTAAAACTGCAGTTTGCATTTCTTTGTGTTAAGAGTTCTGTATAAACATTGCTTTACTATACCGTGGATACCTGTGAGTCCTTACTCTGTGGCCCTGCTTCCATGAATCAAGTCTACAAGTATTTTCTTTTCTACGTAAAATACAGGTTGTCAGCATTGGAAAATATGTATGCACCAATTTTTAAAGTCCTGTTTGAGGTGTACCGGCCTGATGCTCCCTGTCCAAAGGGACATGCAGCCATTTTTTTGATGTGTGTATATAATTTAACATTTTTTATTTTTTTGATATGGGGTTTTATGCCAAACAAAATGGCCTGGAATTTGCTATGTAGCTGAGATTGACCTTGAACTATTATTACTCTCTTGACTCTACTTCCCAAGACTGGGACCATGGGCATCCAGCTCAACATATTTTTAAGGACAGGATAATAAGACTTAGAAAAGGAAACTTGTCCATTGGCTAAGTGATTGACATAAAAAAATTAACCTGTGTGTGAAGAATTTCAAGGCCTGTTTTAGTTCTGACACATTGCCCTTTCAGACAGATGTGATACAGATCTTGTATTCTCATGTAGCTGATGAAAAAAAAGCTAAATTTTTATGGGGGAATCATGTTTCTCATGATGTATTTTGCTACATCGGTGGTTCTCAACAGTATTGGTGTACTTAAAATCTAGGAAGCATTTAGCGTCTGTTCCCTGGGCCTGTTCCTAGAGACTGAATTTATGAGTTCACTGATAATTCTTGCAGCCAAGATCTCTGGTGGATCATCCTGAAGTAGTATCATCAGGATGACCTAATGAGCTGTTTTAATATAGATTACTTTGAGGACTTCCTCACTATGGTCCTGTCTACCTCAGTCAGCACTTTTCACTGTGTGCTTAAGAACCCAGGTAATGGATTTCTCTTGCCGAAAAGAAATTAGCCTTCACTTAATGGTGGTTGCCTCTTCAAGGAATTGGGTTCTTCTTCTTGACTCATTTCTGAGCATCTGAGCATAACATAAGCATTGTCAAAGCCCAAATTCCACATGAACAATATTTGTGCTCAGCAAAAATAAAAATCTGTATAGATCTGATTTTGTTTTTTTTTTTTTTTTGTTTTGTTTTGTTTTGTTTTTAATATTATCTTTACATGTATATTATAGACTCTGGCAGCGAGTAACAAGAGCTATAAATGCCAAAGACCAAACAGAAGCTACTCAAGAAAAGTATGTTTTGGAAGAAGCTCAAAGGCAGGCTGCCAGAGATCGGAAAACAACAAATGAAGAGTGGACTTGTAAGTTATTTGAACTTGACCCACTCACAGGAGAATGGCACTATAAGTTTTCAGAGTAAGTAATTTAAATGTCAAATATACTAGCATAATTTATTGCCTTTATATTTCTAGTATATGTACTATCAACATATGAATTAGAGTGAAGTATTAGTTTACAGTTTTTAGAAATTTATATATATGTATGCCAGCTTTTTGAGTTTATGAGTACTGTGTGCATGCAGGAACCCATAAAAGTCAGAAGAGGTGTCAGGCCCCCTGGAACTGGACTAGTGGGTGATTATGAGCTATGAGAGTTTTGGGAACTGAACTCTGGCTTTCTGCAAGAGCAGTAGGTGATTTTAAACACTAAGTCACCTCTTCTGTATGAAATTGTTTGTTTATCTCTTTGAGGCAGGGTCTCGCTACATAGCTCTGGCTATCCTGGAACTTGCTATATAGATCAGGCTGGCCTCAGACTTCGAGTTTTGTCTGCCTCTGCCCAGTGCTGAGATTAAAGGCATGTACTGCTATGCCTGACTTCATGATGTGACATTTTAAATTTGTTGTTCTATCATTTACTTTACTTATTTATTTCTATGGTAGTGGTTTATTTTCTAAATAAGTTAAGAATCAGAAGATTAGATATAGACAAATCTTCAGACTAGAAACAGTCTTAATGAAAATTACTTACTGAAAAATCTAATAAAAATTATATTCTTTAGTTATTAAAATTTTTTTCTCTTCAGTACTCGACCATGGGACCCACTTAATGATATGATACAATTTGAAAAAGATGGCGTTATCCAGACCAAAGTGAAACATCGCACTCCAATGGTATGTAACAAAAAAGTAGCTAGGTCCAATAGGCTTATAAATTTTCTAAATCTCTAGTATCCATGGTAATTACATTTAAAATTTTGAGTTTTAGGTAAGCAAAATGGTATAACAGGCAACTTCAAGCTGTGACACCCTAAGCACACACAAAAAAGCAAAATCTACCACAACTATGCAACTATTGAAATATTTGTAGCTACTAAGAGAATGAAGGACCAAGGAGGTCTTTGAAGCAGTAGGAAGACATTATAGCATTGTAGGAGTCCTTGTGTGATTCACCCCTTGCTGGTCACAGCTACCGGCTTGTGAGGTCTCTCTGTTCCAGTGCACATCTGTGAAGCCAAAGGGAGCAAAATAAACCGCATACACACACACATCCCACCTCAATAGAAAAACACTGGAGGATCCATTAGCACATATATGCATAAACAAAACATAGTCTATTCATGTAATGGAATATTATTTATACATAAAAGTAATTAAATTCTGCTCTGTGCTACAGGCATGGACAAACAAATGTTCTTCAGTTTCCACATAGGCAGATTCCCAAAGTCAGAAAGTAGATTACAGGTTCACAGCCACCTGAGGAAGAAAAGGGTGAGGAGTTACAGAATCTTGAAGATGATTGATTATACAACATTGTGAAGTAATTACTGCTAGCGGGTTGTGTGTAGTACTTTTAAAATGGCAAAACTATTACATTGTCTCACTGGCTGGCCTGGATCTCAGTATGCAGACCATGCTGTTCTCTAACACAGAAACTCACCCGCGTCTGCCTCTGCCCAGACTAATGTATGAAATGTTTTTATTCATGTTCCGGTGAGGAGGTGGAGGCACATGAGACGTGCCCTTCCTTCTAAACAGACTGTAGATCACAGTGAGTCCTCATCCGCCTCTCACTGCTGACCCCATTTGTCATCTTGAGGACTCCAGTTCCTCAAGTAGGGTAGCCTAAACCCACAACCTGCCTTCTTAGGCAGGTTCACAATGTTCACGTGTATTTTAGATGCCTATATATAGTTTTACAAAATTGTTCCAGGAATGACTAGGGATACTTTTGTCAGATTGGTGAAGTTCCATATGAAGTTAAAGATGTGTGGCCAGTGACTTTCTCTGTTTCTGAGCTTGCACACGGCCCTACCACATGCTTCATTTCTTCTCTTGCATTTGGGTTTTTAAGCTTGGTACTGGTGACCAGAATTACAAACCTATTATTATTCTATAGTTTATTATCCCACAGAAAATTTAATCCTAGTTAATTTCATACATATCTGAATCTTGTGCCTGCACACAGATGTTTTTAGTAAGTTTAGGTATACTACAAAATAGTACTGTATTTTCTGTTTGCCATAAACTACCTAAGTATACCTGACATCATCCAGCGGGAGTGTTCTAGCACTGAGAACAAGACAAGAATGTTTTTTCAATGCTGCTGTTTAAAACACTGGAGATGGTATGCAAAAGAAATGCAGCACCTGGGGGTATATTTGTGTTTGTACATGCTTTAAGGTATCACTGGAAGAGCAAACAAGCTAATAGCCCGGGCACCTGTCCTGTGAAGGAGAGATGGTGTGTATGGGTCAGGAATGGGAGGGAAATTAACCTCCTACAGTTCTTTTTAGTTTTTGTGCCCAGTTAAAATCAACTAAGATTTTGCTAAGTGCAGCGTATCTTACTTGTTAAATTTCATTAGGTCGTTTGTGCTTTTTCTAAGTATCACTCCTGTTGGTGGTTTTGACAGTTACATGGGTGGTTTATTTACAGCACATAGTACTGACTCAAATCATCATAATATGATTTTTCTCCAGGTTAGTGTTCCAAAAATGAAGCATAAACCAACAAGGCAACAGAAGAAAGTGGCAAAAGGCTATTCTTCCCCAGAACCCGACAACCAGGACTCATCTGGAAGTGAAGGTGAAGATACTTACCCCAGACTGTTGACTGATAAATTTTTAAAGCAGTTTTTTTTTACTGTGCTGTTAGGTATATGTAAATGGTTTTCAAATTAACTCAAGAATGTAAGAGTTTGTATGGAGACAGGAATCGGGTATGAATGCCGTTTTGGATTATATAGATGAGCTGACTCGTGCAGATAAATGCTATAGTAGCAGTTCTTTGGTTTTTCGGTGAAAATCTTTTGATTGAATTCAAGAAGCATATGTTAAGTTTTGAGTCAGTTCATGTTTTAGAAGAGTTTCTTATTCCTAAAGTAAACTACTAGTGTTTGGAAGGCACAACCAAGTGAGACTACAAATACGCAAAAACTTGCAGACTACTACTAGATTAAATCATATCTTGACCAAGTTAGATACTGTGTGAGCTGTCTTGAACTATATTAAGATACAATTAAGAAGGGATTAAAGTAACATCTTAGACATTGTAAGAAACTGAAAAAGTAGTTTTTAAAAATCTGACTTAAACACAGTGTCTATGAGTCTACACTAAACTAGGGGCAGAGAAGCTCATTCACCTACAGAGGCAACACTAGAGTAATAGTAACTATTGAGGACAGAGGCTAAGTGATGAGGGGCTTAAAAGAAAGGGAGCTCACTCTGGTGGAAGGTTCTTGGAAGATGCCTGAGGACTTAGTAGACTCTCCAGTGACTTGCCTGGGACATGTAGCACAGTGATGTGGTTGATAGCAGAAAGAGAATGCTACAGGGCTGCTGTCATGTTACAACAAAGAATAAACAGGTACTCTGAGCCTTGGAACCTCTTAACCTGTGCAAGGTCACAGAGCCGGTAGGATGGGTATGTGGGGTGGTACCTGATGTAGAGGTATTAACTCTTTAATTGGGTTTGTTGACCACTTGATGCCTTACAGCTGTGTGGAATTGGGGCAATCCTGTTAACCTTAGTTTAAAAAGAGAGACCCTGAGAGAGGGTGCTGAGCACAGTTAGAAAGGGAATGAAGTTAGCAATAGCACTACAAGTTGTAAGGTGCTCACAGAGCTGAGTTCTTCAGATTGGTGCCAGCGGCTGGGGGAGAAGAGAGTATTAGTTTCCCAAAATTAATACAGATTTTAAGTGATTTTTTTTGCCTATTTTAATGAATTAATAAAACTGATTCTACAAGTTAACTACTCTGTGCAGTTTCCCAGTTTCGACTGGATCTGTTTGAGACTTTAAAAATACAGAATATTTATTTTGTTAATCTGTAGGCCATCCAAACCATGTGTAGAAAAAGTTTGGTTATACAAGCCATTAAATTCAACTATAGACTGTGACTGTAACTTCATTCTAAATGTCTTTTTAGCTCAATCTGTAAAACCAAGTACACGAAGAAAGAAGGGGATAGACCTGGGAGATATTCAAAGTTCCATTGAGTCTATAAAACAAACACAGGAAGAAATTAAAAGGTAATATATTCTGAAAGTGCTAGTTGTTTGAGTCCAGAGGAGTAAAGACCCTGTTACAGGAAATCATATAAACTTTACTTTTTTATAACACTGCTAATGTTTAAAAATAGAGTCCTTCAGGGCCTCTGTCACCTGAAGTCCGAAGCTTACAGAATTCCTACCACATGGAGCTACTGGGGGAGATGAACTTATGAGGCCCTTCTCTGGGAGGAGAATATTTTCCTGCTCATAGCATGCTAGGAACACAGCTGTAGTCTCTGAGAAAGCTGACAGACTTGCTTATTCATGCAGTCCCCCTTGTGCATGGCTGGTATGCAATTGTAACGTGTGTCTTCTTACAGCAACTGAAATACCTGCATAGCTGTGGGTAATAGTCACTGCCCTGAGACCGGGACTATTCGTGTGTGTGTGTGTGTGTGTGTGTGTGTGTGTGTGTGTGTGTGTGTGTGTGTGTGTGTGTGTGATCTAGCAGCTAACATTTATTAACACTTAGCTGAGGATTCTAGAGGAAAGATGTTCCTGTTCCAGAGGGGTGAGAGGGAGGCATACTGTCTCAAAAGAGACAGAAAAGAAAGCCTCTGTTTATCCATTAGATTACTTTCAAATGTCACTTTCTTGTAATGCTTCTGATCATCTATCCTGACCTGTACATGAGCTTACCTAACTTTCCCTCTAGCCTTCTTTGGAGTGTCCTGCAGAGTTGTGCCTGTGTGTGCTGTTGGCTCCTTCAGAGCAGACAGAATGACATGTGCACCTTGGGTATCATCAGGCCTTAATCAGACCTTAAACTGGTATCCACATTATATAATTATTATGTATAAATCTACTTGGTTACATTTGCCTCCTTTTTTTCGTAGCACAATTCAAAAAACAAAAGATTGGAATTTCATCACTAAATTCCCATTTTTGTAGCATCAGAAAGGCTATTGGATATTCTTCAATTTGAGAGTATTAAGAAATCTGATGCATTTTTTTCCCCTGAAGAATTTGAAATTTTTACTCTACTCTTGTCTCTCAATAAAAGGATAAAAGAAATTAAGCCAACTAAAGAGCAAATACTTTCTTTAAAGCCACTGTTGTAACAGAGAAGATAATATATTCTGTATCATTAAGCTGTGATGATAATATTTAATATGTCATAAAGTAATGTGCTTGGTGCAGGGTACCTAAAACCACTTCCTGAATACTGGCAGTCTCGAGTCTTGATAGAGTAGTAATTGAAGTAGTTACTTGAGGTAATTAGACATTTTGTGACAATATGATAACTATAATAACGACATTTTGTGCTAAAATTTCTGAAAAATAACTATCAAATTTATTGTTGCTTATTTTGTAGAAATATTATGGCTCTTCGAAATCATTTACTTTCAAGTGCACCTGCTACAGATTATTTTCTGCAACAGAAAGACTACTTCGTCATTTTCCTTCTGATTTTACTTCAAGTCATAATAAACTTTATATTCAAGTAGAAGTTCTCAACAGTTGAATCACTGAACTAGACAGATGGAATTTGGCCTGGGACTGGTGTTCACATTGATTTGCACTCTAGTGAAGCATCACAGCGTTTCTAAATCAACAGGGCAGGAGATAAACGTGCAAGCGTCTGCCTAATTTTCACGTCATTATCCTTAGCCCAAAACAAGAGCTGTTCTGTTTGGTTATTAAAGTTGGCTATGTGTTAAGTGCCAGAACACTTTGTGAGACTGTGCCTACATGTGAGCATAATAAATCCACATGTGTACACAAGAACTCTTACCTGACAGTAGTTTCTGTGTTCTGCCGTATGTTATGAAATACTCTGATACCACTGTTCATAACGAAAATGCCATTAATCTTACAAATATATGTATAGTCAACTGTTTTCTTTAGAAGACTGGCATACAACTTTTACTAAGAAATTACAGTTGGAGAAATGATAGATTATAGACATTGTATGACTTGTTCAACACATTATACTGTTAAAAGCACCTTTAAGGTATCTAGCTCAGTTGTCTTAGAAACACCAAGAGAAAAGTGAGTGGTCAGAATTAATATATTGTGAGGAACAAGTAGAAAGTTTTTAAGAGTTAATGCAAAATTTTCTCACCTCTAGGACTTAATGTTACAGATGTAGATGTATCCATACTTACATGTATATCAATATTAAAACTTATGTGCAGCTACACGGATGTGTATGTTACAATCCCATCTTAAGCACTTGCCGACAAACGGTCAAGTTTGTTTGCTATCCTTTACTGGTTTGGTTAAGTCAGCTGTGTCTAGGACATCGTCCAGACATCAGTGTTTATAGGGTATGTGTAATTCTGATAATTTAATGTTTTCTTTATGAAAAATATTTTAGCATTCATTTTGACATTAGAATGCTCAATGAGTAAATAGAAAACTTCTCATATTGTACTTCAAAAGCCCAAAAAGAAAAAAAATGCAGTAAGATAAGACACTGCAGTGGCCTTTTCTTTGAGAACATTAAAATCAATTTGTTTAAATGTGCAATAAGTTGAGCATTTGAGAATATTCAGTTACAAAGTATATCATCACCTTCCACCGCCCTGTGGCAAGCCACAATTCTGTACAAGTCATTTTGCTCAGGCTCAGCCAAGTTTCATTGCTTAGAGTTTTTGCCTCTTCAGTTTCATCTTTTGACTTCGTATTATTGTCAAAAACACTTCTTTAAAAGGTAATTAAGTTTTGGAACATGTCATAAAATTTAGATTCCTCTAAACTATAGATTTCAGGGAGGTTTATACAGTGAAAGACCTGTTGGCCTGGCTCCACCTGCCTTCAGCTAAAGGAGAGACTGAGGTACAAGTCAGTCACCTGAGATGAAGCGGCAGTCAGTGCTGTGTGGCGAGTACAAAGCCAAGAGATTGCTGATACGGTGCTGAAACCACATATAACTATCTTCAGTACCACAGGTCCCCACGAAAAGCCATCCCCACATGATGTCAGCAAAACAATGCTGTATTTCATTGAAAATATCTTAAACTTTTAACAGCAGAAACAAAAGGTGTACCTGTATCCAGTGTTTCATTATTATGGAGTTTTGGGTTATTTCATATTTGTCAATATATTTTTTGTATTCTTATTCTACTACCAATATTATGCTCAACTGCCTATCATTGATGTGATATTTTGTAAATATTGTACAACTTGATCTTTATATGATTTTAAAGTAGTATTAATTTATATTATATATAACTTAATTGGTTGATCACTAAAAGTTGTTTCATCATTAAGCCCTGAAATGTTAAATTGTTGGTGACCTGCCTTAGGGCTCTGTCTTACGCCTTTACATTGTTTCATGTGGTCTGAACAGTACTTTATTTGTGCTGATATCTGAGACTGGAACGGTGGTCGTTTTGTTGTTTTCAATTTCACTTCAGAGCTGATGTTAATGGGTCCTTACCCAAGGAGTCAGAAATTAAATGAACAGGGTGACTGTTTCTTATACACTAAAGGCTTATGTTCAATCGAATGTTTCTCATACACCTGACTGTATGAGTTTCTTTCTGTGAACTGAACACAAAACTCAGGAATTGGTGGATTCATATGTAAGTCCTTTAAACAATGTATACTTCACCTTGAGTTTGGTCAGACTGTGTGACTTGACTTGAACATTCTGAGGGTTATCTTTCTTCATAAATGGATTCACAATGTGTGTGACTCACTGTTCCAAACTGTCTGAAAACTCCACGTGGTTTATCGGGTTTGTGACTCCATGGCCAGCTTTCTTTATTTAAAACCTTAACTTCTCACGTGAAAATTTAGATGTGTAATAATAATTATTGACATTTTCAGTTTTCAGTTGTTAAATGTCTTTAGGTGTCTCCCAATTAGTTAGATGTTGCTGGCTAGTGAAAGATTTATGGACATATGAGATGTTAGTGTGCTTTAGCAATAGATATTTATTTAACTTGTCATTCTTACCGATACTTTTTTTTTTTTTTTTTTTTAAAGCTTAAAAAGGTACAGTGGTAATCTTTGTCATGGCTCAGTTGACAACTGCATTCCCTTGAAAGCTGGCCCTGTAAGATACAATCCTCATTTCCTAGCTCATGTTTCTGTGCCTTTAAGGAGATATTTTTATTGTTTTGTGTTACAGAACTATAATATGGTGTTCAAAGTGTTTATAGGCTTATTTGTCATAAAAGGGTCATTTCTCTGTCACTTTATTTCCTTTTATATAGCTGAAGAATATGTAAACAGTAATGCTGTACTTTTATAAGGGTTTGTCTGGTTACCTACTTCAAATATATTCTTAGTCAGACATCATTACAGTAAACTTGTCAGATTATTCTGAGTATTGTAAACAGTGCCTTTTTGATGGAATTCACACTGTTTTGGGTGTCAACTTGTGCCATATTCACAGAATTCTGTGGAAGGCAGTTTTAACTTTTTGAAGAATATCTTCATCAAAATTTTAAAAACAAATGTGTAAAATTTCATCTTTTTCAGTGTTTGGCATTTCTAATCAGCAGTAAATAGTTTTGTTTTGCATTTTTGTCTTCTCTACAGGGACGATGGCATAAGATGAGCCATACACGAGTCTGCAGATTATTTTGGATTATGTTAAAAATAAAGAGTTCATGTTTATATCAAAATTTCCAATTTGACCTATGGTGGGGGGGACCTCTCATAATTCAATAAGTTTACATTTTAACCTCTTGCTTATCTGGCTAAGTGTATAAAGAGATTCTTTAAAATGTATAACCTGCCACCACTGCATAATTTGGTTTCTTTTTGTTACATATTTTGTGGGTTTAGGATATCCACTTTTTGTTACAATTATACTACTATTTTGTTACAGTTTTTAATTGAACATGGACTGTTAAAATTGTACAGGACCAGTGTCTTATTAATAAGATTAACATACTCAATGAGAGCCACAGGGAAACCTTGCCGAAAATGAATGTGTCTGTACTTCATGGAGTGTTTAGAAAAATTAGCCTCTTCATTTATCATGAAAATTATTTTAATACCATAATATTGAAATTCTTTATTTGAAAAAATGACATGAGACATTTGAATGATGAGCCACAGACCTTCAGTTGGATTTATTTTCACTTTTTGGCATGTTAAATACACATTTAATTTTAAATACATCAGTTAATGGCTGTTTATAAAGTCAAGCACTACCACTGGTCAGTTTTGTATGATAGGATACAAGTGTGTTGTTACCTGCAGTGTAAGTATAGCACACTGTTGAATTCTCTTAAGGTGCATAGTAAATGTATAGATAGTCACAGGCGGTTTTGTAATGTATACATTTCTAATCTATTATGCCTAACCTGTTATGTTTGCAGAGAGAAAGGAATTTTTCTAATCTGTAAAATTATGTTAACTTCTATAAGTAGGTATTCTAAATAAACTTTTTAAAAAGCAGTCTGTGATCCAATGACTCCTGATATGATGTAGTAACTAAATTAATCATCTCATTTATTTTGCTTTGTTTTGAGAGTGTGTGTGAAAAAGATCCCCATACAGGCTTGGCAGGGATTTAACAAAATCCCTAATGTATGTTTTAGTTGGTACTTTATATTTCTTCTTTCTTAAATAAGTGGAAATAATACACACTTCATACATGAAAAGTGAGGCCCCGGGGGTTTTAAATGGCCCCAAGAACTACACATTAAGAATGAAAGCATACCCAGGCAATGGTAGTGCATGCATTTAATCCCAGCACTTGGGAGGAAGAGGCAGGCGGATCTCTGAGTTCCAGACAAGCCTGTTCTCCAGAGTAAGTTCCAGGATGGCCTCCAAAGCCGCAGAGAAATCCTGTCTCAAAAAACAAAAAGGAAAGCACAGTCTTTCTGAAAAGGTAAACATTTTGAACCATGTCTGCACAATATTGTAGTAAAACCTTGACTGCAGCATTTAAATGTTTGAAATAACCCACTACTTGAGTCTCTATTAAGGTAATGTTAAGCAGTGAGTGCAACCAAGAAGGAAAAAGCATTACCATTAAACATTGATGTGTTTTCCCCTCCAATCTGCCTGTTAGTAAGGAGTCCACACCTAATAAATCTCATAAGATCCAGGAAAGTTTAACCCTTGATTTCTTCCTCCTTTCTCCCCATTCCAGCTAACCTCTTAGAATCCACTTGCTACTTCTAGAAATAACAGGAGAACCTACAATGTTGTGTGTTGCGTGGGAATATGGAGTAGGGGAAAACCTGTCAGTGTTAAACATCAATGTTAGAAGATCACTGACCTGCTAATATTGACATGTTCATTCTGCATTCTTATGAATATAACTGTAAGCATTGTGGCTTAGATGGGAAGGGATTCTAGCCAAAGAGTACTTACTGAGCTGGGACAGAAGGGTGTTTTGGCAATCGGGAGCCAAGGAATACCACAACTCACAGTTAAGTGTAACAGCTCACAACCCTGCTCCAGTATAGCAGCTCTGCTCCAGCAGGGAGGACTTCCCAGTGAAGTGGGGTGGTTTTTTTGTTTGTTTGTTTGTTTGTTTTTTGGCTGGCCCTTTTTCCCTATAGTAACAGCCCAGGAGTGATGGTTCACTATAAGAATAGTGTGAGTAAATGAAATACTTGACTGTATGTGCTCCGTGTTAGAAACTGTACAAAGTACTTTCTAGTGTGCCCAGCTCAGAACTTTGATTTGTGTGTGTGTGTGTGTGTGTGTGTGTGTGTGTGTGTGTGTGTTATCTTTCATATATATATATATGAAAGCAGAGACTGAATGTCACCAATGATTGACCGGAACGACCTCCTCAGCTATGAATTCAGAGTTCATGCTCTCCCTGAAGCCTGTATTTTAATATGAAACATTTCTTTTTGGGGGCTGTATACAGTACACAATGTTAGGGTGTGTTGATTCGTACCGTTAACTCACCTATGTGAATAAAGGGCAAACTTTATTTCTGCTGAAGAGGTTAAACTAGTTGGGATGTCTTCAATACCCGAATGCAGGGAAGAGAGCACAGCCCAGAAGGAGGAAGAGAGGCTAAAAGTGGTCTCCTTGTCCATGCTGCATCCTAAAGCCCTGTGCATGAAGGCAAGGAGAGAATGGGCACGGTGTGGACCCTGTAGGTGTAACCCTGGGATAGAGGCACGGGGACAGTCCCAATCCCTCCATCCCAGCCTCTAAGGCAGAAGACCTAGGGGGCGTGATCATGGACGCCTGCAGGGCTTGATTCAGGACGGCGCCGGAGACCCCGCCTCCATCCCAGTCTCCGTTCCCGCCTGCCGGGCGGAGCCCCGGGGACGCGTCACACGCCACAACGGCCAATCCACGCCAGCGGTGCGGCTGCATTTCCGGCATCCTCCATGCCCCTTCCGGCGCCACCCTCCAGCGGTCCTGAACTTCATCCTCTGCATCGCTGAAGCGGTTCGCGTGATCCTGGATGCATGGCGTCCTTGGGGTCGGTGACCGCGGCTCTGCGGGTGGCTGAGGTGCTGGAAACTATCGCAAGCCGCTGCGTGGGGCCCGAGGGCGGGCAAGTGTTGTGTACGAAGCCCACCGGCGAGGTGCTGCTGAGCAGGGATGGAGGCTGCCTCCTGGAGGCGTTGCACTTAGAGCATCCCTTAGCCAGGTACCTCGCGCCACCTGCCGTGCGCCAGACCCGCAGTCTCCCTCTACCGCTCACTCTCTCATTCTGTCCCCATGCTGAGGACCTGGAAGGGAAAATAAAAAAGATCTTGTGAGACCAGTGTAGACATCGATAAGGGTGCTGCCCAAACTAGTCCAGAGCCCCGAACTTCATCAACTGCCTGGAACATTTCTCTTTCCCCATCCCTGGCATCTTAGAATAGAACAAAGAATCTTAGAAAAATAAAAAATTAAAGATAAGGCTGTGTGTCAAAAAGACGATAGTCTTTGTGTCTGTAGCTATGAAAACATGGGTTTAACTTGGCACCAACATGGACAATCTGAGTTACTTTTTTCTCCCTCTCCCTATACAGGATGATAGTGGCGTGTGTTTCCAGTCACCTTAAAAAAACAGGAGATGGTGCTAAAACGTTTATTATTTTTCTTTGCCATTTACTCAGAGGACTTGATGCAATCAGAGAAAAAGAAAAAGATTCATTCACTTCTGAAAATACTCAGACCCACGAAAGACATTGGAAAAACTGTTGCCAGTGGAAATCTATTTCTCAGGCCCTACTGACGTTTCAGACACAAATACTAGATTGTATTGTGGATCAGTATCTAAGCAGGCACTATCTGTCTGTCTTTGCTTCGTCTGCTAAAGGAAGAACTCTGTGCAGGCGCTCTTTAGAGTCACTCCTGGAAGCTTACTTTTGTGGGAGAGTGGGAAGGAACAATCACAAATTCATTTCGCAGTTGATGTGTGACTACATTTTCAAGTGCACAGCCTGTGAAAGTGCAATTGAAGTATTTGAGTTGATGGACAGCTGTTTCCTCGAGTTGAGTGTTGGTGTGACAGGCCTTCCTATTTCGGATTCTAGAATTATAGATGGCCTTGTGCTTCACCGAGACTTCTCTGTGTATTGTCCAGCAGATGGGGACATAAGAATGGTGATGGTAACAGAAGTCCTCCAGCCTCTGTTTTCATCGTCACAATCAGAGTTTATTCTAGATTCCAAAGCGCAGTTTCAGGCCTCTCAGTGTTGGATCGTGAAAAGGACAAAAGCAGTAATGAAGCATTTGCATAGACAGAACATAAAACTGCTCCTATCCAGCGTGAAACAGCCAGACCTAGTTATTTATTGTGCTAGACTCCATAGCATATCGGTGGTGGAGTGCTTGTCATCTGAAGAGGTTTCTCTTGTCCAGAGAATCACTGGCTTTCCTTCTTGTGTTCTACCACAGGTCCCTTCACAGGGTGAAATTTCTGATACGACTTTGGTGAAGTTTTGTAAACCTCTCATCCTGAGATCCAAAAGGTATGTCCATCTTGGCTTGATTAGCACATGGGGGTTTATGCCTCACTCTGTGGTCCTTTGTGGACCAGTTCTCGGTCTTGTTCAGCAACACCAGAGTGCATTCCATAGAGCTTTTAAGATGCTTAGACAATTGTTTACTGACCTTGACCTAAATTATGCCATACAAGCCAACGACCAGTGTGACTCAAATCCTCTTGCTTATAACAACAGCAGAGAACGTAATCACCTACCAGAAATTGGTAAGTATTGGAACACAACAGTAAAGAGTGAAAATAAATTAGAAAACACTCAAACACATTTAAAAATGTATTCAAATGCGGTGACTTCAGATACAGAATTAAAAACACATGTGCCATGGTCTGCACACAAGGGGACACCAATAAACACATCTCAAACCAATGGAATATTGAACTTCTTGTCTCCAGAAAAAAACTGGATAACCGATGACTGTGAACTGTTAATTGAGAGTAATTCCACCAGAAATCCTTCAGCAGAAGACACTAGAACAAATGAAAATGTACAGGCCACAAATAATCCCAGAAAAGAATACACATTGCCGTTGATATACAAGTCCCTAGAAGCATGTACTTCCCGGGGTTATTGCTCATCAACTATACCAGCAGGCAGTGTTCTGCCAGTGGGTGGTAACTTTGAGATCTTGTTGCATTACTATCTTCTCAACTATGCCAAACAGTGCCGGCAATCAGCTGAAGCCACGGTCAGTACCTTAATGGCTAATGCACTTTTAGGCCTTCCTAAAATCCTTTACAAGCCTAAGAAGGGGAGGGACAGCTTCCCACAAATATATTTGCGATCTCGCCATGCACTGCAAACCAGTCAATCCATGGTAAGTGGTCAGTCAGGCTTGGAGCCAGTAGCTGGAAAGTACCAGTTAATAGCTTCAGTTATTCAGTGTTTGGCAGAAATACTAACCGTTGATGTAATAATCAATATCAAGAGACAGCCTCAGAAAGTTGGTGAACAAGATTCGGATGATGAACTTGAACCCTAAGCTTTTTGTTGCACAAACTTTGAATCTGGGGCCAGGGAGAAGGCAAACCAAGGACCTGTGTTCAGTGCCCAGAGCGCAGTGGGTGGAAGGACAAAATGAGGTCTGGAGGATCGTTCTGTATCCTACAGTCACATTCACAGATGCAAGCACTAAACATTATGGAAAAGATGTATTCAACTCAAGCTAAAAATTCAAACAGGCTTCTGACTCTGAAGTCAATCCAGTCCTCACCCTAAATCTACTGAAACCACCTGGCCATTCAGACACAAATAGCAGCTCTGTGGAACCAAACCTGGCTAAATATATCTGTCTCAGGCCTGTGTTGGTCTGTGTCTAAGGGAGCATGTCTGTATTTCCTTTTTCTGTATTTCTTCCCACTTCATTTCCTTGAACACTCTATTTCATAGTCATGTAATCTCCTGACTTGAAAGAGATCTCCAGACGCCAGCTCACATTGTTTATGAATATGAATATAAAATGCTAAGGTTTTACTTAAAATAGTTTTTCTGGGGGTAAAATCTGTAAAACAGTAAATAAAAAGTCAAATCTCTGTAAAAGCATATAAATTAATTGTGTGTCATTTGATTTATTTATTTCTATTGAAACAGTTGGTTGGGGGCTGGGGAGATGGTTTAGCAGGTAAAAGCACTTGGCACCCGAGCCTGGCACCCTGAGTTTGAAGGGGAGAACCAATCCCACAGAACTGTCCTTGGGGCTTCACACGTACACTGTGGCATTATTGCATGCACATAAAAATAGTAAAATTTCAAAATCTGCACCTTTGAATACCTGTTCAGGAATGGCAACATTGTGAATTCATCCTTTACAAGTTAATGCCAGGAAAGACGGGAAACTGGTGCTTTTCATTTTCTCCTGGCTCCTAAACTCAGAAGGATTTAATGCAGTTGCCAGTATTTCTTAGTTTGGGTCCATTGCCAGAGTTCAGTAACAACTAAATTGACAGTTGTTTCTAGTGTAAATTGACAAGTATCCGAATGTCACTTTAAGAGCTTCTGAGTGCAGACTGCTGTACTGTGTTGCTACAGCCATCAACAAGAACAGTGTCTTTTGCCTTTAGTAATTCTCTGTAACACCCAAAACCATGTTTTGTTTACACCAAGTGTTTAAATGTGCATGTTAAGTAACACAGTGTTATCCCACCCATTCCCCTGACACGAGTTTCTTCATTCAGTAATCCTCACTGTACAAATACTAGGTTAGAAGCCATTCTGCTATGCTGTTGAGCACTTTGTTCAGACATTAATGGATTATAAAGAATGGCTTGTGATTGACTTTAGGAACTGAAAAGCAAAGGCACCTTTATATTTGCAAACTCTCTGACCAGTAATATGTTTGTAAACTAATGGGCTGGGAAGATAGCTGTGGGAAAGGGTCCACTGCACAGGCATGAGGAACCTGAGTTTGAATCTCCAGTGCCTACCTAAAAACCAGTCTTGGCAGCATGCTTCTATACTCTCACAGCTGAGCGTTGTGGGAAGTACAGACAGGCAGATCCCTGGAGTTTGCCTGCCAGCCAGTCTAGCCAAATAATGAGCTCAAAGGCCCATAAAAGAGTCAAGACAGCTCCTGTTCCCACTGTTAAGAGTCACACAAGAGGACCAAGCTACACAACTGTAACATATGGAGAATGTCTAGGTCAGTCCCATGCAGGCTCCCTGGTTGTCACCTCAGTCTCTGTGAGTTTTCTTGTGGAGTCCTTGGTCCCTCTGGCTCCTACAATCCTTTCTCCTCTTCTGTAGGATTCCCTAAGCTCTGCATAATGTTTGGTAGTGAGTCTCTGCATCTGTTTCCATCAGTTGCTGGATGAAGCCTATCTGATGACAATTGGACTAGGCACCAATCTGGTCACAGGAGATGGTCAGTTCAGGCTATGTATCCACTATTGCTAGGAGTCTTACCAGGTGTCAAACTTGTAGATTCCTGGGAAATTCCCTTATGCCAGGCTTTTACCTGACCCAAAAATGCACACACCCTACCCTGGTTCCAGTAGTCTCTGTCAGTATTCTTCCACGCTCTTCACTCCCCTCACCCCAACCTTATGGCTGACATTCCCATTCTGGATTTTTTTTAATGTAACTAAATTATATCCTGAAAGGGATTTGAAGGGACCTGTAATAAGAACCAAGTTATGTAAAGAGTCTGACAAAAAGAATGAGGATAAAGGGAGGTGTGGAGGCAATTTGAACTCAAGATCATTTTCTCATTTTCTAGTACTGCATGATAAATAGTCCCCTCATTCCTCCTAGGCCTCTGGGGTTGGCTGTGCTCTCACAAGGTGAGGAAAGGTGCAAGGAGAGAGAAACCAGGCGCCAATGCTCAATAGCGAGTGTTGATGTCATATTGTAGGAATAGTATGTAGAGCAGATATATAGAGGCAGCTTTCTTTGGAAAAGCAGTCTGCTACCCCATGAGAAGGAAAAGAGTAAGTCTCCTGTAAAGCTACTACCTCCTACAAACACACACCCTCCAGGAACCTTTATCAACCTTCTTTTTTTCGAGCTTGTGTGAGCCATTTTTATCTTCAAGCCCACAGGCATTCAATAATTGAACATCCTTGAATTGCTTCAGCCAAAAGAGTTGTTTGCTCTTACTACACAGGAAAGAGATGTCACCATATCCATGTTTCAAACAGAAAGGAGTGGGTCGAATGAATGCAATGTAAGCCCCATCAGGAATTGCTCATTTGCAACTTCCGTTTGCTGACATAAGAGAAAATTGGGTTTTCATTCAGTTTTACCTGTGAATGGGAATATGCACATATCTGTAGCTAAGCTTTGATCACAGTCAAGAACAATGTCCTGGAGGTTGAAAGATACAGGAATGAGGGAAGGAACTTGGATCCCTGCATGAGCAAACAGAGTCATTCCAACCCCCTAGACTCTACCCTCAAGACTTATGTGAGGGTGAAGTCAACTGCCGTTTATTTATCTCTGCCTCCTGGAGCCTATTTGTTACAGCAGGTTTACTTTTATTCCAGCAAGCAGTCTCCTCCATAACCTTATGATTATTTGAATAGCAAAATAACCATAACCACCCACATGGCTTTAGACTTTATCAACCTTTTTCAATAATTTTTTTCCCCCAAGATGCCTTTGCTTTGGGGGCTTGGGGGACTGGGTTGTGAAATACATTTTAATGAATACAGTGCAAGTAAAAATGTCTTGCAATCTTTGAACAAATCTGCTGTGGCATCAGGGCTTTGCCTCCTGCTCCACAAGCTTCAAATGCCTCGACATGGCCACCTTCTAGAAATGCTTTTGAAGCACCAAAAACATACTCTCCACTGAAAGTCTGTGGCAGCTCCAGGGGCTGGATATCTTTAAGATTTGTTATTGTTTTAATTAAGTATATTTGTGTGTGTGTGTGTGTGTGTGTGTGTGTGTGTGTGTGTGTGTAGGTGCCTGTTTCCAAAGACATTAGATTTCCAATGCAATGTGGGCATTGCAAGCTGTCACCCACATGGATGTCCATGTGAGTGTGTGTATGTTGCATTGTGTGAGTTGTGTGTGCTTGCATCTGAGTGCATGGAATTTGGTGATTAAACAGGATGTGACATCAGGAAATTATTAGTGCTGCTTATGTTCATAGATGTTGCAAGGGGGAATAAAATGAGCTGTGAAAATAGTGTAGTAATTGCAGTCATCCAGACCTGCCCCTCACCATTCATTCTTAAGTACCATGCCACACAATTACAGTCGCTTGTGTCCTTGGGTGCCCGCCTCACTCCATGTAAGAAGTCTTGGCTGGAATCCACCTTTGCCCCAGATCCATTCAGTATGAGACCTGGCAGCATGCATGTAACCTAAAGCCCCAATGTTTAGGTAATATCAGGAAGGACATGACTCTCCATGGTTCCAGAACTGGCAACTCCATGGGAATTAGATTTATGTCCCAGTGTTCTTACTAAGCCTGGGACGGGCAGAGATTCTATTCCTCCTCCTCCTTCTTAAATGTAGAGACTGGGTTCAGCATGTGCTGCTCTTTGTTTTGTTTTGGTGGGGTTTTTTTCCTTTTTTTTGTGGGGGGGGCTTGTTTTTTTTTGTTTTGTTTTGTTTTTGTTTTTGTTTTTCAAGACAGGGTTTCTCTGTATTGCTTTGGAGCCTGTCCTGGAACTCACTCTGTAGATCAGGCTGGCCTCAAACTCACCTTCTAGAAATGCTTTCGAAGCACCAAAAACATACTCTCCACTGAAAGTCTGTGGCAGCTCCAGGGGCTGGATATCTTTAAGATCCCAGCCTCCTGAGTGCTGGGATTAAAGACTGGTGCCACGAACACATGCTGAATTTAAAATTGTGTGAAGTCATTGAAAAAACATTAATATCACAAAGGTTACCTGAAATCAATCCTAGACATAATATATGCAACACTATAAACCTTCTCAGAGATGAGATGGGCAAAAACCTGTGTAGGTATGACCCCTGTAAAACAATTGACACATTACACTTAGATTGACTTACACACTGTAAGAAACAAAAGCAGGTTACAGACTGAGACAAAACAGCTACAAAGTAAATGTTTCGTAAAAGACTTCCACCATAAATAACCAAAGAACCATTAAAACTCAACAACAAGGAAACAATGGCCCCAATTAAAAAGCCAGAGCTTAAGCTTCAGGGGTTGCTGGGTTCTTTCAGCCAACTCAACCTCTACACCTCAACAGTGTTTCCAGTTCCTCAACATGTTTGACTTCCTGGAGTCTTTCACAGTCTATTGAGTTCCCAGTGCTTCTCAATTATTAAATTATGTCTGTCATTTCAAGGGATCTCTGGAGAAAAAACACCCTGTCTACCATCTTGAACATCTTGACCCGGAAACTTGCTGTGTTTACAGTCCAGAGGAGCCCAACTTGGTGGCTTCCACAGCCAAAGCAACTTGAAAGAACACAAGGTAGGAGCGGGGATGTCCAATTGGCAAAGTGTTGGTCACACAAGCATGGGAAATCCACCATTCTCCCAAAGTTCCCTCATGACCTTTCTCCTGTCCTGCCTGCTGCTGATTTCATATTAGTGGACACAGCATGCTTTGCTGGAGACAGATGTGAGCACATGCCTGTCTTCCTGCATATGTTCCCTGCTATGCCCTGCCCTAGCCACTCTTCAATACCTTGTCCTTTCCACGAACCCCTACAAGCCTAACACCTGTTTTACCTAAGTCCCTCTCTTCCTCAATTCTGTATGGAGGGAAACCTCTGGAGAATTTTTAGCGAAGGAGTTGCATAATTTGATTTGTATTTCCCAAGCACCACCTAATGATGTAGGGGAAGATCCTGGCTTTTGAGACATGTACATTGCAGTTTGGGGGAAAATTATGTCTACAGATTGCTTTGAGATGGTTCACCCATCTGTGTGTTCATGCCTGTGTGTGTATATACATGAATAAAATTGGTCAATGCTAATTGGCAGTATTTCCTGTTCACTGTACTTTTTCAACCTTCTGTGGGTGCCTTAGTTACTTTCCTGTTGCTATGATACCTGGGCAAAAGCACCTTGTGGGAGCACCTTTCCCAGAGGGGTGCAGTCCATTCTTCCCCTCACAGAT